CAGATTATTCAGATGATATCCTTCAAATTAGAGCTGATAATCAAGTTATCATAATCATTATCCAGAATTTAAGAGCCACGAAGGCAAGTTAGAGTTTTGTCGAGTTCCGAAATCAGCAACGCTTTCAGAAAAAATAACTCACAACTAGATTGTGATGTGTTTTTAGACGATATGCAAGCGATTTCACATATGTGACATAGAAGAAACGAATACCTATTATTACAACGTTATGTTCTTTGCCGGAGGTTAATCGAGGGCAACCGTTTATAACTTGAAGCTCATGACACGGCACAGAATAAAGTGAATATTTAGGGCCTTCATCTATTCAACAAATCAAACCCCCCTTTTCACACATAACACTATCAAAGAACTTGAGACACACAAACGAATAACGAAAATTGTTGTCAATAAGGGACAAAATAGAAAGAAGAAATAATGAGACGGAAGAGAGGATCACGTCATTTCAAATGAGAACCATCGTTACACCAAAAAAAAAACCAGGTCATTACAATCGTGGACAGAAAAACAACATACAAGTTTTTATAGCGGAGATGTTGATTGATAGCACATACCTAGATAAAGAGTAAGACAATCTGCAGCGGGAAAATGTACTTAGTACACCGTTAAATACAGCTGTGATACGTGACATCACAGACAGACTTTATGATTTGGAGAAATACAAGTTACAAAATATAGAGTGAACAGTCTGCTGTTAAGATACCCTTGTTAAATAACTCACAGAAACTTCTTCAGGAGCATTTACAGCTGACCATTGGTATAGTTTAAATATGAAGAATTAAGTACCTCCTCATCAGTACCTAAACCCATGTCTCGAGCTAGAGTTTTAACTGTCAATTTTGCTATGTTTTAACACAACCTGATACAATGTTAGAAGAGATGTAACGATTATTATCCCACTTCCTTTCCCCACCCTCACCACCTCCCCCCACTCCCCTTTTCACCACCCTTAATCCCCCCCCTTGGACCTCACTTTCCCCACACCCGCTTACCGACCTCCCCTTACCCTTTTCCACTATCCCTCTTGGGAGGAGCCTACTAGCTCAAGATATCAAACGTTCTAACACAGTTTTCGAATATACACACCGTCCAATAGTGTTTGTGGGCGATACAAAGTCATGTTAAAAGGGTGTGTGCTTGCGAAAAGCACCAAACAATCGCGAGGGAGAGTGCGATTTTTTTGATCATAGGAAAGAACTATTTTGAAATCATTGAAGTGAAGAAAAAAAATGACAGTTTTTAGTGAATCAAAACAGCAAAATCCTGAATTAGATGAACAACAGCATAGTTTATATTGTTGCAGGGATCCATACAAGAAATCAGAAAACAGAGGGAAAGAATGGTAAATTGATCAAAGCATTGAGAATAAGCACAAATACTCCCACTTTACAGCTTATCCTAACTACACGAAGGATCCAGTGGCAGAACTACCTGGGCCTGATCAGCATCAACGTATATTCAAAGAAGATACAGAAGATTTTTTGCATCTTGGTGAAAGTCAACGTTACAGATTTGCACACAGAATAAGCTTTCAAACTCTGGACTTTCAAGCAAAACATGATAAAGTCAGACATGCTGCTTGCTAATTTGGTGTACGGATAATAAGGGCCACTGTGATAAATCCAGGCAGTTTGGGACGGTGTATACCAGGATATTGATAAAAAACTGCGCACTGGAAGTTTGATGTTCAGGAAAATAATCCAAACGAAATACCAGCCCCAGATGTCATTTAAGAAGTACTTAGGATGAACAACCTCACTAAGAAGCAGTTTTGAAGCGTACAATTAGAGAAACACTTAGTTCTTATCAATGGGCCCGCAGGAACGGTAAAAGTGACATACAGATAGCTAAAGCAATAACAGCGTGCTGATTCGGATGCAAATAGAAAAAAACTTATTTTTCTTGATTACACCACAGCTGAGGTAGGATTAAAACTACTTTTGAAAAAACAAGTGTACAGCACCTGCACAATATCCAGCCGTGAATCTAGGGAGATGACACGTTGCAGATTAAATCAGATGCTCTCCTTCCACAAATTAGCTGATATCAAGTTATCATAATTATTATCCAGAATTTAAGAGGCACGATGGCAAGTTAGAGGTTTTGTCGATTACCGAAATCAGCAAACGCCTTTCATAAATAAGAACTTACATCGAGATTGTGATTTGTTTTTAGACTATATGCAAGCGATTTCACATTATGAAGACATTTGAAGGAACGAATACCTTTATGACCACGATTAAAGTTCTTTGCCGAGGTTAATCAGGGCAACCGTTTATATCTGGATACTCATGACAACGCACAGGATTATATGTGTATATTAGCATTAGTCATTTCATCTATTCAACAATCAAACCCCCGCCTTTTCAACCAATTACACTATCAAAGAACTTGAGAACACATACGATATATCGAAATATTTTGTCCAGTATTAAGGGACAAAATAGAAGAAAGAAATAATGGAGACGAGAAGAGGACACGTCTCATTCAAATGAAACCATCGGTACACAAAAACCAGGTCATTACATTCGTGGACAGAAACATCAACTACATGTTTTTTAATAGCGGAGATGTGATTTGTTAGGCACTTACCTAGAAAAGAGTAGACAATCTGCAGCGGGAAAATGTTCTTAGTACACCGTTTAAATACAGCTGTGATACGTGACATCACGACAGACTTTAATATTGGTAAATAAAAGTTACAAAATATAGGAGTGAAAAGTCTGCTGTTTAAGATATCCTTGTTATATAACTCACACACTCTTCAGGAAGAATGGCCGCTGTCCATAGGTATAGTTAAAAATGACGAATTAAGTGACTGCCTCATCTGTACCTAACCATGTCTCGAGCTAGAGTTTACAGTTCTATTTTGCTATGATTAACAACACCCGATATAATGTTAGAAGAGATGAACGATTATTATCCCCCCTCCACACCTTCCTTCCACCCCCGCATCTCTTTTCCCCTTTGAGGAGCTACTAGAACAAGATAATAAACGTTCGAACACAGTTTCGAATATACTCACCGTCAATATTGTTTGTGCGATAAAAGTCATGTTAGAAAGGGGAGGTGTGGCTTGCCGAAAAAGCACCAAACAATCGCGAGGGAAGTGCGATTTTTTGATCATAGGAAAGAACTATTTTGTAATACATTGAAGTGAAGAAAAAAAATGAACAAGTTTTTAGTGAAGCAAAACAGTAAAAGCCTGAAATTAGATGAACAACACGAAAAGTTAGGATTGCAGGATCATACAAGAAATCAGAAAAACAGAGGAAAGAATGGTGAAATTGATTCAGAAGCATTTAGAACACACAAAAATCTCCCTCATTACAGCTTATCCTAACTTCACGAAGGGATCCAGTGCCGAACTTTACCTTGAGCCTGATCAGCTATCATCCCGTTATATTCAAAGAAGATACAGAAGATTTTGCACTTGGTGGAAAGGCAACGTTACAGATTTTCACACAGCAGAAGCTTTCAACTCTGACTTCAAAGCAAAAAAAACAAAAAATTATGAAAAAAAAAAATAAAGTCAGGAACTGCTGCTTGCTATTTGTGTACGGAAATAAGGGCCACGTGGATAAAACCAAGGCAGTTGGGACGGTTTAATACAGATATTGATAAAAAACTGCGCACAGGAAGTTTTGTTTCAGGGAAATTAATCCATAACGTAATTCCATCAAAAAATCTGAACGCTCAATAGCATTGTCAATTGAAGTTACAAAATCAGAGCCATCACCTTAAATATAAAAATCTGATTGAATTAACGAGGTGAACCTAAGGTTGCTGGAAGGCTTGGCTGTAATTTCTACCACTTAAAGAGATCCGAGATCATACGTGTTACATATACTACACCTTAAAATTGGTTGTTACTACCAGACACTGTAAGAGTAAGACTGATAATTAGATAATGATAACGAAGTTATACTGCAGCCAATTAGAAATATTGGCTTTTACACTAATTAATTATTCTAGTTTTCAGCTGTATGAACACGCAAATATGCCACATGTGCTTAACTTCATGTTTCCCGCGGAGCAAAGTAACTACAGCACATTGTACACACGCACACACCCGCCTCTTCCACGCACACAGATAACCTAATTTACCATGCAGCGAATGATGTAGCAGGGTACCCTGTGCAAGAGGCGGTCACCTCCTGCCACGTTGCACATAACCCAGTGGCAAAACATGTCCGACGTACTACTACAGTAAGAGAGCTGTCCTCTGTTTATTTTGCCCGGCTGGAACCGCATTCGTGGCGGCAGCGGACGATTCTTTTTGGTCACGATTGCTTTTTACTGGTGCTGGCACTTGTTGTTTTAGCAGTGTTTGGTAAGTCGCGGAATTTTATTTAACGGAGATAATCCGTTAGAGCGATGAGAAGCTTTAGTAAAGTGCTGGATTGTATTTCATAATTGTATTTGTATCGTTTTGGTCAGTAAGAGTGTACAGTTTTACTTATTTATATTGGATATGATTATGTTCCGCCCGTGTACTGTGAATATTATGTGTCTTTTAATTACTCCTTGCTAACTAATTAAAAACTAGTTTCTCGACCCTGATCATTTCCTTCACTCTTGACTATAAATACCATAATGAGCCGCTACATCTGAAACTGTTTTTATTGGTCGGCTGCCGAGCAGTGAGCACACACAAGTTGTTTGATTAGGCTATGGTTATATTATCTAGGAATGTTTAAAGGTCATTATGTGTCCAAACAACTATAGAAGATTAGTCTGGTAGAAGAAGTCTACAGTACTGATAGCTCTCTTATATTAAGACGCAATGAAACTATATCATGTAGTTAAATGTTGCTTTAAACTACGTCTACACTCCTGATACTAAGTATGTAACTGGCCCCTGGCTGCTTATCTTAGATAACTTGTACACTGTACTTGTACACGTCTTGTACTGCAGCCTGGGGAAACAGCCAGGGCCGGTAAAAACTTACAATCTAAGGGGTAACCACCCAAAAAGTCTTAAAATCCCTCATTTTAGACGACATGTATCCGACGCTAGTGTTAATGTTGATAGTTGGGGCCTGGAGCAGAAGTGCTATCAGGCAGGAAGCAAACGAAGCGGACTACATGCCCAAACATGACACTAATTCAGGTAAACTATTATTATATTAGTTTATCAGTTAATTAAGTCTTTATATAGTTAAGTTATAGTTTAACTTCAACAATAAGCTCTTAAAAGCTTTTAGCTTCAGTACTGTGGCATTGTATTTGATGCCAGGTTTACAATTGGTTTCATATCAGGAATACATGATATGATAATGATAATTGATAATTGATTGTGATAATTTATTGTGCGGATAATTACCCTAATTATAAATCCATCAGAGGACTACGACCACGAGGCCTTCCTGGGACACGAGAAGAAAGTAGAGTTCGACAGTCTGTCTGCCAAAGAGGCTAAAGAGAGACTTCAAAGAATCATCCCATACCTTGATGAGGATGGGAATGGGTGTGTGTTCTTACTTTTGGGGTCGTCCACATATTACGGAATATCAGCCCAGGGGGGACGGGGGTTTCCAGATGATTCTAGTGTAATTTGGACACAAAAAATTGCGAAAAAGTGATTGTGTTATAACTAATAGTAATATGTGAACGGTCCCTTTTTGACGGTTTTTAGGTTTGGTGACTTTTAATGAGATGGTTGATTTCTGATTGTTTTCTTTGATTTCAGTCAGATATCAGAGGACGAACTCCACGATTGGATCAAGAAACAGCTCATGGCTTACATTATGGACGATGCAAGGTATGGATCTTATAATTAATGGTTAACAAACAATAAATTCACTGATGTAGCTAAGTAGAATTATAAATCCCTTTGATGTTTGAATTACCAATTATATCTAAATGTATCTAGATAAATTCTCAAAATAACAGTGAATACATTATCTCTTATACTTATACTTATACTTAAATATTTTTACAGAAGAAATTGGTTACTAATTAATTAACGAACAGGAACCTACACGATGGTAACGATGTTAACCACGACGGTTTTGTAAGCTGGAAAGAATACGTGGCGACCACGTATGGCTTGGGATTCGTAGATAACGAACAGCAGGCTCCTGAGGATGGAGAGTTTGATTACAGAGAAATGATTCTGAGAGACTACAACAAGTTTATCACTGCTGATGCTAATGGTGGGTTTTGGTTCACAATTTTTTATATGTTTTTAAGTTTTACTGCAACTTAAGTGATCTGTTTAGTGATGATTGTTTAACTCTGGTAATCATGCATTCAGTTAGTACTCAGTTAACATGACTACAGGTTCCGGGTATGAGGCCGATATTAAAGCTCTATGATTTGAAATGGTTTTGAAAGAGGCACACAAAACTCCGCACGTTTTCTTAATAACGTGCATTATTTTCAGGAGACCAGTTCTTATCCTTAGACGAGATGGCAGCATTCATACATCCCGAGGAGTTCCATCACACTAGAGACCTCGCTATACAGGAGAACTTCAATGTAAGTCTAATATTAGAGGCTGGGGTAATATTCCATTTTAATGACTTGATCCATCCATATCTTGGGATTTCTGGGATAAACTTATCTCAGAAATCCAAAGATGAAGATTGGTCAAGTTTTGATGATCTTCCAATCCATTTTCGATGATTAATTGTTTCGGATAAAGTTAGCCGTATGTTCTTGTTTGAGACTCATAACTGCCCATTGGTATGCAATTTTCCAGACCGAATTGTTGATCTAGGAATCTATTTGCATCTTACAAATCACTGATGGTTTTTATCTTTCAGGATTTGGATACAAACAAGGATGGCTTTGTCTCAGTTGAGGAGTATATTACTGATCTGCTAGCTGATGAAGAAGGTAACTGTTCATTTTTAATATTTTAAAGAGTGCAATATTCCACCTAACGTGATAAACTACTTTTGAGAGGAAGAAGGCACGACATCGATTCGAAAGCTAAGATCCACTTCCTGTAACAAAATGTTTTTCAGACGAACACGTTAACAAGCCAGAATGGATAGAGATAGAAAAACGAAACTTCCTTCAACACCGAGACCTCAACGGAGACGGAAGCGTAGATATCGACGAGCTCCGAGAATGGCTCCATCCAAACGGAGTACCTCCCGCCTTAGCTGAGGCTAAACATCTTATAGCTCTTAGTGATAAAGATAAAGATGGGTTTTTGACGACGGCGGAGATAGTTAATAACTTTAGGGTGTTTGTGGGGAGTCAGGCTACGGATTATGGCAGGATGCTTCATAATGAGTTGTGAGGATGGAAATCTAGTGGATAATTAATGGGAAAATGATCCTTCTTTTGGACACGAAAGTTCCATCTTTTGAATTTGTGCAGAAATTTTTATATTTTTTAGCAGGACTGAAGTGATAAAAGAATAAATTTGTTTCGAATTTAAACTACCAGAGAAATGTTTGTAGAGCCAGAGGCGTGGCCGAAAGTCAGGATATCAAAGACTTACAGATTTTATCGTGCCATTTCATCTTTATACTATTCATGAGCAGCATTATTCATGGTGCCAATTTATTGCATTGAATGTATTTGTACAGGTGTTTTTTATATGTTTCCATTTTTCAAAAAGAATTCCGTGTTTTTATGATAAAATTAAAAATAAACGCACATAAGATCGCTCAACTTAAAAAGGAGATCCAATTGTAGACATAGTAGCAACCAAGAGTAAGCTAGGCAATACAAGATTAAGGCCAGAGGGGGGGGGGGGGGGGGGGGGGGGGGGGGTAAGGGGTCAAAAAATTCTACCAAAATATTATTTTCTAAATCGATTTAATTTTTAATGACAAAAACATTGCCGCTATTCACATATTTGTAGCTGATTAACTTTATTTTATAATTGAGGTTAACCGATTTTCACAAAAATGACTATACAACATTGAGGTTAATAAAATTGAGGTTAATATTTTATTACACGCCATAATTTTTTGTTATTTCGGTCAGCAAATGTAAACTCTAAATTTTAGGTTCATAATTATCAGAAAAAGTAATATCCAAACGTGATTAAATGAGGTTAACCTCGTCTTTTAGATATAGCGAGAATAGATCAAATGATAGAGTTATTATTTTCATGGTAAGTTTACGGTATACATATTTCTAAATAGATGACGTGTTGATTGACTTTCTTTTATCTTGGGAAAATGAAAAAAATGAGGTTAACCATCACATTTTGGTACCGTAGGGAATATACATACGATTCTTACTTATGTTATGTACCACAATATCGAAGTGAGGTATCTATTGGTATCACGATGCCTACAACTATAATCACGTGACAAAGGTGATTTGAACTGACCATATTTTAGTAGAAGATTTTACCCGTAAATGGCTAAAAAATGAGGTTAACCTCTCATTTTTTGAATATCTGACCAGTCAATTACATGTTAACCTCAAAAACTTAATCGTTATACTGTGCGAATGTTTTACTACATATATAATAACATATTGATAAACCAATCCCAGAGTTATATGGTCTAAAGCGAGGTTAACAACCAAATTTTAAGCAGTTAGTGTTTACAGGAAGTCTTGGTTAACCTCATTTTTTACAATACAAGGACATTAACTACTGAAAGTGGCTAAAATCATTTAGGGGACGGCCAGGTCTGATCAAGCAAACGTTATTAAGTGTATAAAAAGTCCTAACTAACGAACTGTGATACATTCCAGTGAATATTCAAAATTTTGAAAACACTAAAATGCATTTATCTCAAAACACACTTTTGTGGTTTTCAATTCCTTAGTTGAGAAAACCAGCCACCCCCTGATATTGAGATTTGGTACAGTGGTTCCTTGGACAACTATCTAGATATCTGGTGCAGCGATTTTTTTTATTTGACTCAGTTCTCGAATTATGAGGTTAACCAATTAAATTTTTCGAATTTTTGACCTGGTTAACCTCATAATTTGAAAACAGAGTCAAATAAAAAAAAATCGCTGCACCAGATGTGAGGATAATTGTCCAAGGAACCACTGTACCAAACCTCAAGATCAGGGATTGGCCGGTTTTCTCAACTAAGGAATCGAAAGGTCAAAAAAGTTACAGCCGTTTAAAGTTCCAGTTTAACATGTAATTACAGGTAAACCTCAAAATTGAGCGCGCGATATCTCAGAAGCGCAAGGTCAGATTTTGATCCGGTTTTTTTCTTTTTGTTTGTCTCCAGTAGCTATTATCAAATATGCAAAAACTACAAAAGTGCCATTTACCCCCCCCCCCCCTCTGGCCTTAAACTAGGCTATACAAGAGTAAGCTAGGCTTTACCTGGGGACCCCAGGCTATTATGTTGACAAACAATAGAGATTCGGCGGAATGACAGGCTGAGCGCCGCCCAGTAAGCTAGGCTATACAATCTTTGGATTCCAATGCTCTCCGTAAATCAGGATTTTGATCCATTGGATGGAAAGTAAGACTGGAAGGTAAATATTATTGTTTCTATTGTTGATTAAAAAAATGGGACACTTCTCTTCTCATTTCATCAAAAATAAATTCAAAACATAACACATAGTACACGTGTACAACAATAATTTTTACATTATAACTCTCAAATTACTAGAACCCGCTAGAACTTTCATAGTGTTTTAAATTTTTCAACAAAACCAGAACAAATTCTTACATAATTCATTAAAGTAGTGCGAGCAGAAATTCTAACATTTTTTCAAAAATGTCGTAAAAATGTGACTGGGTTTTTAGCAGAACATGCATTTATAATCACAATAAACTCATATAATAAGCCTATAAAATATAACTTTATAATGTTTACTGTTTGGTTGTGTCATGCAAGTACAAAGAATGAACAACTATCATCTTAGAATGGCCACTTAATGGAGCGTTAATAAAATGTAAGTCAAATCTATCAAAAATGCTCCACATCATGCAAACGTCTGAGGTGCTAAGTACTGTGGGGTTGTGAACACGCTGCGACCCCTTTTGATCGCGCGCGGCGGCCGGCCGGATTTAGGTGTGCGGATACAGCCAATATCTTATATCAGTATCAACGAAATTAATACAGCATTTTTGTTAATGCTGTGGTCCGTGTTGTTATTTGAAGTTGACATTTAAACTATTCACTGATCTCCGGGACCAACAACGCAATCATCACCCGTTTCAACAGGTGTGATCAACCTAAATAATAATAATAATAATCAGCACCTGTTATAGTGTACATTACATAACCACTGGAGTGACCATCACAGATCACACCATTAAAATAGAAAATAAATCTCAGAATTCTCTTTGTGTTTATTTAAACATGCCGTATAAAGCAAGCACGATGATCACTACGATAATTAATCCGATAACAAACATCATGGCTTTGTTCTGTATCACTCGTCGGTACATGTTGTTCAGGAGGCGGGAACTTTGTGTTAGTGTACTGTCTACGTTATTCAACCTGAGTAAGTTGTTATTTAATTAATTAATTAATTAAAGTTGTTATTTTATTGATTGTTTTGTCAATTAACTAGTTAATGATCTATCGATTACTTAGCTATGTGCATTATTTCTAGCAGATGGTTTATTGAAATCTAAAGCTTAAAGTTAATCTACGCTTAATCCCGGAAAGGGCCAAAATTAATGTCGTGGATATTAAATAAATTAATATATTGTATTAGTTAAACCTGTTTCTAGCGTTATTTATCTTCTCCCTATCTTGAGCGAGGTTGTTCAGCACGTTTTGTCCGATCTCTTCCGTCTCCATGGCCATACGATAACTGCAATAAGAAGATGTTAACTGAGATTTAACAATACTCATTAAATATAATTATCTGTCATTAGACCGATATTTTACAGTTTAAACAGTACATATATCTGGTAAATCCAGGTGTTCACTCCTTCATTTTTAATATCACATTTTGATAATTCGGTGTGTTCAACGCTAAATTGTTTAAAATATGTGTCCCCTCCGGGTCCTCTCCAAAGTTATAAGATTACTAAAATTACTAAAGTTACTAAATTAACCAACGTAACTAAGTTACTAAAGACTAACCCATCCTCGAGACGTTTAGATGATCTCTCCAGTTTCTCCGAGTTGTTTGTCATCGTGTTTTTGTGTTCATTTCCGAGCAGCTCATTTCTCTGCTCAGACTCGTCAGTGTATGAGAGCTGAAATAAACAGGTACATTTAATTAATTACCTAATCACCTGATTAAATGTTTAACTTTCCTGGATCTTTTGCTCAAAGTTCAAATTTAATATTGCGCTACCGGATAACTTTGTTTCTCAATAGTTTAAAGAAGTGTCCAAGCAAACATTTACTGGGCTGCTCAAGAGAAAGCCCACAGGAAGGGTAGGGGAAGAGGCGTGGAAGAGCTGCGCCAGCTATAAGTATAGCAGAGCTTAAACTCACGAATATCATGCAATCCACACGTACACACACCACAATTACACACGGTAGACACGGTAGACACTATATAGACACACGTGTGTAACATACCTCACCACCACCGACATCCCGGTATGTCATCTGACGGGACTTACAGTCAATATCATGTTATTTTACAGTCAATATTTTAATGTTCTTTAGATTTTAATATATGCTACTGAATTTAAGAACGTTTGGTTTGCTTGCTTCCACGTTTGGTTGGGTTGCACGGCTCTGACCAATTAATGCGAAGCCACGCACCCAAACCTAGAACCAAACCTGCACGTAAGTCTAACATTGTTCTGATATTTTAGGTGAGTTTCCCTTTCTTATTAAAACTACAATAGTAGTTGTGTTAGACGTCCTGACTGATGTCTGAAAGTCTTATTACAGTAAATACGGGATTATTGGAACGGAAACGACGAGATCTTTTCTTCAAATAATTTTAACCACACAAAATAGTACACTTAGAGCCACTCTTCACGAATGTGAGTGTAGGAGTAGCAGCATACGTTATCAAATACAATTTTGAGTAGAATTGTTTGTCGGCTGTATAATACCCACGGCGCATTTTAAAGTTTTGTTTCCTTTTCGTATCGCATCCCTTTGCAAGGATCAAATAACTCCTGTATTAAATACAGCAGGGCTATGACTGCGTTCAAATCTCTTTTAGATACTAGATAGCTTGTATCATTTTGTACTTCGTGACTTCGAAATCGGGGTCACGTTCTTATAGGGCTAAAATCACAACTTATGTATATTGTACACTAGCAGTTCACGTGAAATTGATTACGTTATTTAAATTAAGTGGCTTAGTCGGTTAATCTGCTTGTCTACTGGCCCTGACGCTGCGAGTTCGAATCCCAGTTGGGCCAAGATTTCAAAATTGATGAGCAGCCGTCACTCACCAAACCATGGGGTGAATGGTAGTGGCTCTCATTAGAGCTGCGAAAATAACACGAGTGCATATGCCTGGGGTTGCGTCCCGACTATGCTGCGGGGAAATCTGTACCGAAAGGACCGTGACCGCACCGCAAAAGAAAAGGAGATCGGCCCCTCGATCCTAGCTTGCTAGGTTCGCCATTGTTGTTATTTAAATTAAGCATGTAAATTAAGATGATAATAATATTTAGCTGAATAGCCCGGGATTTGGACCTTTTTATGCTAAAAGAATTCACAGCTAAATATAGTACATTAGCTAAATAGTTCGTTAGGCTTCAACTTCTGGAATCGTTCATCTTTTTATTGAAAATACCGAAATTGAATGTCTGCTTACATAATTATTGTATGTATATGTTAAGTTGCTGGCATGTAAGAGCGATCCCTAAAAAGGAAAGGGTCGGGGGGAAATAACTAAGAAAAGGCGTCCTACGGATGCCACAAAAAGGCCCTGAATCAGTCATAGATCAACAATGAGGCAGTAAGACCCTTCAGTCCGTGAAAAATGCATGCCAATAAGATCATGCAACGTGGAATTTGGAATTTCAATAAAAATATCTGCTTAAAATCATGATTCCTCACGTCTTCCTCAACATTAGCACTTAAAAACAGTTCACTCCGTCGCAACACCTGTTCAGGACACTATTGATACTATCCTCTGGGAAGCAGTGCACGGTTCTAGTTGATAGCTGGTAGCCCAGTAGAGAACTTATACCGTGTAAATTCAAGAACATTATTATATGTATCTTTTCTTAAGTAACCACGTGATACCCCCGCCAGTAACTACACGTCGACATTAGGGACAACTATAGATGTAGATTCTGGTTGGGAGGAGAGGCAATCAGGGATTCTGTGTTTTGATTGGTCAATAGTGGAAGCTGATTGGTTAATTGCTGCCACGTGTCAAAAGAGTTTGCCTCCCCTCCCCACCAGAATCTACGTCTATAAAGCTGATTAATTTTTCCGAAGTGTGACCACATGTTTAAAGGAATGCATGTCCCCTTCCCCCATCCCTCCCCAAACTCTCATCGTTGTGCTAATTTAGCTGTGGGAGTTGTAACCGCATGGCATGTGCCATTGTGTCACAAACTTGCTGAAATATGTGGCCACACCATGGTTACAATCTAAAGGAATGTCATGCCTATCAAACACTCAGGGTGTTCAAAAATGAGAAATATTTACAATCACACACGAACACGGTTAGACATACCCTAGCTTTTCTCAGATTCTTGACGTGGGTTTCGTAGTCCCGTTTGTAGTTCACCACATTCATCGTGATCTAGGATGAATAGTGAGCCGTGAGGTTGAGAGTTGCAGGTTTTAGTCTGCTGCAAAGTATGAAGGGATTGGAAAAACAATCGTTATGGTGCCATCATTATCATAATATTTCGTTTCGCGAAACAAACCCCTTGCAAAACATCGTGCTCCACTATTATAAAATAACGAAATATATGAAAAACCTGTCTGCGCTGATCTCCGGTTGCAGCGTGACTCTCAACCTCTATTTGGTCTATTAAATCTTTAGCTTCCTCCAGCAATCCCTCAACCTCCCCAACCTGTAGTGATGATGTAGTTGGTTGTCAAACTATTGATTCTGTCACGTGGCAGAAAAGTGATGTTGTGGTAAAATTTTAGGGTATGTCAATGTTGTGATTAAAAACGTTAAAATGTGAAGGATTTTCGTGTTGTAAGGCTGTATAGTGTATATTATCTGAACACATGAAATAAATGAAAGATACACAACTGACCATGTCATGTTTGTCTTTGCCAAATAAACTTGGTATTCGTCCTATTTTAGCTGTGATGTCAGCTGACAGCTCACTATAGTCCGCCTCGAATTGGGTAGCGTTGGACATACTTCCGTTATCTTCTTTACATTCGACCTAGCTAAATGATAATACCATTAATAGCGAACGATAGGAGAAAAACAGTTAGTTTGTAGCATGAAATAACGTTTAAGTGCGCCACATTCCCGATTAAGTACCTAACATTGTTGAATATAATTATACTGCCAGTGTTTTGAAATTGAGCGTTGGAATTCAGCAAAATAATAAAGCACATAAATTCCCGGTACGCTTACACTGCCTTGCTACCAATCCATTAGGTCACGGCGCGTGCCGTTAAAATTATTAAGTAGACCTTGGTTTGCGAGTTACGTAAGCAAAGTTCAGACGTTCCAATTTGGAGTTATCTTCAAGAAAAGACAATAAAGCACTGATCAATAAGGTCGTTGCATGTTTACATTATAGCTGTCGAAAAGCGTAAATCACAAGGTTGTCTCTGTCAAATTCTAACATCCCGAAAGTTTATAAAGTGTAACTAGGATTTAAAACACATATTATATAATTCTCGAAACCAGTTTATGTACAATGTGTGTATATTATTGGGGTCACCATACGTAAATTCCAAAAAGCAAAACCAGCTAATAAATCTTCACGGCATTTTTACCTAGAGTCAAATTGAGATTAACTTAAGACCCAATTAATCAAACAGTTAACTCATAACTCATAACAAGATAGCCATTTCCCTTGAAACGGAGTATCACACAAACTCTATGTCCCTGAATCATCGGTGGTAGTAGAATTAATATTGGTAGCAGAAACTGCTGCAGTAGCATTTGCTGATGGTATCGTTGGTACCGATGGTACCGATGGTACCGATGGTATCGATGGTACCGATGGTACCGATGGTACCGATGGTATCGATGGTATCGATGGTATCGATGGTATCGATGGTATCGATGGTATCGATGGTACAGTAGCTAAAATAGGTTCTGGTCGAGTTACTAGGTTTGGTTCAGGATCTATCCTGTCGCGGTCGTTAAGTGATTTGATGCGGCGACGCGCGTTGTATTTCGGTTTCATCTTGTCGCGCTTGTTGCCTCGGTAGGGGGCCGGGGCGTCGGGGTATACTCTGAGGAGGTAGTTAATAAAAGTTAATAGTACTATGTTTACAGTATGCACTGAAGGGGTATCCTAGGAAGTTTCCTAAACTTTTAACAGGTACCCCTCCTCATTTAACCCTCAATTAAGTTTACTATCATTCGGCTGAGTCAACAGAGGAGATCGCATAGATCCAATGGATTCTTAGATGGATCACCTCCTTAAGAGATGATTAATTAGTTAATTAATAACCGTTTGATTGATTAATTACCGTTGAAATTTCGAATAGAGGATAATCAAGCTTTCCTCGCATCAAATAAATGATAAGTGTAAATTATGTTGATTGTTTTTATTAATTGGGATTAATCACTTACTTGATAATATTTCCAACTGCTTTAGTCCTCCCTTCTCTGAAGACCATTCTGGCACCTTCCTTTATATACTCTGGATTCTTGATAAATCTAAACCTGGAAAACCATCGTGTTTAGTAATCCTATAAATAGATAAGTTAAATCAACAATATTCAGCTCACCCCCCCCCCCCCACCCCCGGTGTCCGACCGAGGGTTTGATTCTTGACTGAGGCCGAAGAAATTCGTTTTGATTTTGGCCGAGGGCAACCAGAGGAATGGTTTTTGACTTTTTGACCGATGCTTTTAACATTTTTTTTCTGAAAGATATTGTACAATTGAACGCAACAAGAGGACTGATTGAGGGCAAAACGTCGATCTAAATGACTGCACATGTTTTAAAATGCAATTTATTTGTACTAGATATTAAATAAGATATTTGGAGCCACCACAGAGAAGCTACGCACACCAAAATTACAGTTAAACGATGGAAAAATAATTAATGAGTGGCCATGGCGTGCGTACTGTGCGTACTACCTAAACATGGGCCAGTTGGTAGATCACCGACCGGCTATAAGCCGGCTACTAACCGGCTATAAGCCGGCTTATAGCCGGCTACAATTTTTATAGCCGGCTATTAGCCGGCTTATAGCCGGTTAGTAGCCGCTTACATTTGTTGTTGAGCGACGGCTATTAGCCGGTTATAAGCCTGCTATTAGCCGTTTTGGTATTAAAAGTGGTTATAAGCCGGCTATAAGCCGGTTATAAGATATTAACTCAACTACATCGTACTGAACGATAGTCAGGAGCCGGCTATAAGAAATTCAGTGAAAACGGCTATTAGCCGGTTATAAGCCGGCTATTAGCCGTTTAGGTATCGAAAGTGGTTATAAGCCGGCTATAAGCCGGTTATAAGATATTAACTCAGTTCAGTACGATGAAGTTAAGTTAATATCTTATAGCCGGCTTATAGCCGGCTTATAACCACTTTCGATACCTAAACGGCTAATAGCCGGCTTATAACCGGCTAATAGCCGTTTTCGCTGAATTTCTTATAGCCGGCTCCTGACTATCGTTCAGTACGATGAAGTTGAGTTAATATCGTATAACCGGCTTATAGCCGGCTTATAACCACTTTCGATACCTAAACGGCTAATAGCCGGCTTATAACCGGCTAATAGCCGTTTTCACTGAATTTCTTATAGCCGATACCTAAACGGCTAATAGCCGGCTTATAACCGGCTAATAGCCGTCGCTCAACAACAAATGTAAGCGGCTACTAACCGGCTATAAGCCGGCTTATAGCCGGCTATAAAAATTGTAGCCGGCTATAAGCCGGTTTATAGCCGGCTTATAACCGGCTTATAGCCGGTCGGTGATCTACCAATTTCCCTAAACATGTCCTGCTTATAAGTGCCAATCCTAGCAATGATTGTGAGACAGCAGTAGTATTAAGAATTTAAGTAAATTAGTGATTTCCAAATAACTCTCTGATTACGACCAGATACGATAGTCACTCCCAAACTAGTACTAGTAGTTTATCGCCAATAATCAGAATATCAGCAATATCAAATTGCATTCAAGACTATTCTAAGTGACGCAAAAATGACATTAAATATAAGGTGATTTATGTAATATTATATGCTTAAAAGTCTTATCGGTTAATTAAATCACGCCAAATGCCCAAAGCTGATAACTAAATGTGCAGTGCTCTTGTTTTAAAATGCAACATGGTGGACCTTATCAGTTTTCCCTTGTCTTAAACTCCATCGATTTCAGGTTGTCATAGAACGTTATTTTTTATTATTAATAGCCATTGACTGACCGATTTTAAAGATACTGTTTTCATTTAGCTCTAGGCGAAACTATTATTATTTAATTACCATAAGACTTGAGCATATAGTATTATGTATATATCACCTTACATTCAATGTCATTTTTGCCCCACTTAGAATAGCCTTAAATTCGATTTGATATTGCTGATATTCTGTTTATATCGTGCCTCAGTATTATTTGGGAGTCAAATGGCCATCACCGATTGATGCCTTGTGTCGAAGAACATGAGATTTAACATATCCAAAAAATCACTTATTCTGTTCGGTAATTCTTTGTTCTCAATTACCAATATTGGCGTGTCTATCGTATTTGAAGGTGGTCTGAGAGTCAAATACGCATAACCAATTGATTTCTCAGATCAACGAACATTGGTTTCGATACCCTAATCTCTTTTATTTGTCAATAAGAATTAATTTTAGTTAAGATTTTCAAAACACCCCGCCTCCCCAACAAATCCACACATCTACATAATATATCACTGATAATTACCTGCAAATAGCCTTGTCCCCGGTCCTCATATGCTGAACACTCATAGTAACAATACTAGCAGTTTGTCGTATGCTCCCTGTGTGCACCATAGCTTGATACTTTACACTTATTGTAGTGGGGTGGTGTAGGACTCTTATCTCCGACTCAAACTCCCATACTCCTGCATATTTTAGATGTTTTATTTTTTAATGCCACATTCCTGAATAGTTTATATGTTAGAAGTTTTATTTTTTAAATACCAAGCTTCTGCTTATTTTAGATGTTTTACCTAAATCCCAAACTTCCGCGTGAGAAAATACTACAATATAATCAAGGTACGATGTTGGATACCTGAGTTCTATATCTTTCGATAGCAACTCCATCTATGTATCTGCTTAGCTTCCATCACTGATCCTGGTACTTGAGATTCCAGGTGTGGCTTTAAACAATGTTTTAAGGGCCCAACACTCAGCTCACTCAGTTGATGGTAGAACAGTGGGTCTTTGTGCGATGTTGTAGCAGGGACTCCACTTCTTGTTTTCTCTTGCTAACCAGATTGCATAGGAACATCTGAGAGCAACCAAAGCCGCCTCTTGGAACACTGCTTTCTTTACTCTCTTTGTAACACCAAAGTAGTTTAGTAGGGCTGGTAAGGTATGATGCCAGAAGCCTCTACACCCAACCTCTACCGTAAAAAGCTGAGCTTTCCACCCACTGCCATGCAGCCCAGGAATAAGCTCTCTGTTGTAACGTGCTTGTTTACGTTCTACTTGGTCACTAAAGTTACTCTCGTCACCAACTGTCAACTCTACTAATATGACCACCTTTCCTTTATCAGACCAGACTACAATATCGGGACGTTCTGCAGTTCCGTAGATGTGCTGGGGGAACTGTGCTGGGAGGTCATCTTCGTCCCAGATAATCTGCCAATCTTGGTCTTTCTCAAAAGGGCTCTCTCTTTTCATCTTCGTCTTCGGTTTTTGGTAACAGCTGCTAGATGACTTGAAGCCTGTCCAGTCCTGAACTTCAAGTTTAAAATCTTTGTTGTTGAACTTCTCGATTTGATCCAGTAGGGATTTCGCAATGACCCGCAGCACGTTGTCATGCCTCCAATTGTATCGTTTGTTGTTCAGCGAGAAGTTGCAAGCTACCAAAATGTGCTTAATGTTGCAGTGTCTCCATCCGCAGAGTGGACAGTGTCCTGTGTCAGCATAGTTCCACAGGCTCATGTTTGCTGGAGTATTTGCAACGTCATGGGTTGCATTGAGGTGGAACTTAAGAAGAGCAGGGCTCATCTTGTAGTTGTAAATAAGGTTGTTCCAACCTAGGTCTAGCTGCATGGTGTTTTCCCATGTTAAGAATTGTCCTTGAACTCCCTTGTCTACCAGTGTCAACAGGATATCCTGCTCTGAGATGTGGGATACCAGTTCTTTCAGTTTTTCCTTTTCACTGGCTACACTCCTCTTGGATCCCAAGCCCATCCTGCCTTGCACTGTTACCCCTACTAACTCTCTGAAGTAGAGATCTCTTTCTCTAGCACTCAGCTCATTAGTGTAACCCCACCGACTGCTCCCTTCTTGTTTCTTGGCCCTGTGCTCGTAGACCTCCTTAACTTTAGGATCCTTGCTGTTCTTTAGAGAGTAACCTTTGGACACCTGAAGGAACTTGTATAAGTCCGATAGTCTTTTAAGATTCAATCCAAAGCAATCCTTATTTCTGTAAAGCACACTGACAGTAATTGTCTTTGTTACACCTAGCCATTTCTTCAGATACTTCGTACATATTGCTTCAAGATCTTTGACAAAACTAACCGGGAGATTGTAGATCATCAGGTCCCAGGAGAGCTTGCTGGTTAGGAGGTTGTTGTAAATCCAGCATTTCATCACTCCATTAAGGCCTGATCCGTCCACTGCCTGAAACAGTGTAATCAGTTTGTCTTCTATCAGCTTCTTGGTATCTTTGAGGCCCAGATCCACATATATCCAATGGCCAAGAAACTTCATCGGTGTATTTCCAATAAACTGGATTTGAGCTCCATCTATGAAAATTGCAGGGTCATAGGACACATACCTTCCATCTATAACCTTCATCCCCAGGGATACGCATTTACTCGGCTTGGCTTTCATTTTCCTTGACCAAGTAAGAAATCTTTCCATCACATCTATTAGCTTCTTCATCTTTTCCAGCCTGGGAGACATCAGAGTTAGGTCGTCAGCAAAAGCACGACTTGACGTGCTGCTAGAACTAAAAGACGGCTTGTAACCCAAGTCGCTTTGATTTTTCAGGAGATCCAATAGTAGGTTGAAAACTATTAAGAACAGTACAACCGATAGAGGGTCGCCCTGAAAAAGACCTAACATATAAAAGAACCAGTTTGTTTTCCAGTCCTTTGTCACCACTCTCACAATCAGCTCATCATAGTACTTAAACATATATTCTATGAGCCAGTTTGGGAACTTATAATGTCTTAGAGCATATATTATCAAGTTGTGGGGAACCCGGCCGTAGGCGTTCATTAGGTCCACCCAAACTGCAAAGATCTGTCGTCTATTAGATTTGGCATCCTTCAACTCTTCCATCAGAGCCTGAGTATGCTCGAGGCAACCTGGTGTCTTACGCAGGAATCCTTTCTGGATAGACGTGTCTATGTAGCTATTGCAGACCATATACTCTAGCATTCTGTCCGCTAGTAATCCCATCTGCAACTTCCCACTAGTGTTTGTTTTAGTGATGTTTCTGAACTTACTAGGGTCATCTAAATCCTCAGTTTTTGCTATCAGAATGGCTTCACCTACTCGCCATTGCAGCGGGACTCTCTGGCTTTCCCATAGAGAATCCAGCAATTTGAATACTGCTTTCGCCATTCTGGGACATCTCTTATATACCAGATATGGGACTCCATTCGGACCAGGTGATGATTTATTTCTACGGCTTTTCAGCTTCGTTTGAAACTCATCCCAGTCCAATCTCTCCATCTCAAATGCAGTCTTTGGTACTGGGGCATCGGGCAGTCCTTTAAGCTTTACATATAGAGCACTTCTCTTTTTTTATTAAAAATTATATATACAGACTATAACAGGGTACGCAATATATAAAATCATGATAAAAAATATGTCGAATCTTCTTCAAATGGAGGAGACAGATTGTTCGAGCTGTGTTTATTGACATTCTTAACATTCTTAACGAGGCTCCAAATCACAGACATGAGCAATATTTCCACTGTAAAATATGGCTCTAATAAAGCAAGACAGACGTCAGACAATCAAATATTTTACTCGACTGTTTCAAATATACATAACTAATATTATAGTCCATAAAACTCCCAGATTTAACTTGTAGTCCAGTTGTTTAATCTAGAAAGGATAAAACATAGCCTTGTATCAGTATCACGTGATCACACATTTCATAATATACAGCTGTTTCCATTCCTAACTAGTAACCATTATTACGTATTTCCTTTCAAATTTACGAAGAATAACTAAACTCAACCTCCTGATTGAATATCAAATATTGAATATTGAAATTTGATCCGTCGTTTTATTATTTTACTAGTGTAACCCGGCCTCCGGCCGGGATTTCACTGCCGCAGTTAAAAAGGGTAGGAGCATTTACCCGTTGAGTCAAAACCCGCATTAGGTGAGCAATTCTATTCGGAGTGCCCTCACGTATCCAATGGTATCTTAAACAATAGTAATAGTATCTTAAACAATAATCAATAGAAATTAACCCTTAACACCACACCCGCCTATCATATTTGTGAACACGCATAACATTGTCGTATGAAAGTATGAACTCTCTCTCTCTGCAGTCCAAACAGTGCCCCCTCCCCTAATAAGATTATAGTATAGACAGCGAATCTACCCGGGTAACTCAATTACACTAATTATGCAGGCTCTGCATATGCGAGCCCCGTAACTCTTACCGTTCTGCTCAAGCCATTTTATGTAACATTTGTGGTACAAAACCATCAATTAAACCACTGACCAACGACCGATTTAAAAAACCTTTATCATTTAACTTCGTCAGAGTTTTGTCGGCACTTTACCGAAAAAATAAGTCCCGCAACTCTTACCGTTTTCTTGATTAAGCCGCTCGGAAATTACAAACAGACAGACAGACAGACAGAAAACACACATTCTGGGATTATTAGTTAGATTATCACCAGTTGCAGTTACCTTATGACGCAGTAAATGCTGTGTTACAGTAGTAATGTAATAAACTTACCGTAACATCTAGGAAGCATAATATAATTAGATTATATATCATAATATTATTTAACCTCATGAAACATAATCTATATAATACTGTGGACATAGCGTTTTCTCTTTGTGTTTAGTCTATACTGGACTTCTCTGTCTTCTATCATTTACGATCTACACTCGGTATGTTGTGTGATTAGACTTTGTTGCTGCAGTTGTTTAGACTTGAGATGTGGAAATTTGACAGTTGAATCATGATGCATCATTTCAGTTTTTTTCGTACCTCAACTAACGACCGCACGTATTTCGTTTCAGCCTTGTGCATGAAATTTCATATATTGCTACATCATTGTCAAAGTTTCGAAACTTGAATAAAGAAATAAAGGTACACAATTATTTCAGAGATCTCAAAATGGAGGAATATCTCAGGAACGGGAAAGATATCTACGATACGTATTGTGCGTCAACAGAAACACGCCCAATCATGCTACCAAAAGCTCCACAACACACGTATATTGACGTATACCCAGATGAAGGTGAGCCAGGTCCCAGTTTTAAAGACGATAAAAAACATCAGTTAGACTATGAGACCGAAGTTGTAGTTTATAGAGCACTGGAGGGGCTACTAGATGAAGATATAAATGTATTACACAGTTTCGAATATACTCACCGTCAATATCGTTTGTGCGATAAAAGTCATGTTATAAAAGGGTGTGTGGCTTGCCGAAAAACACCAAACAATCGTGAGGGGGAGTGCGATTTTGTGATCATAGGAAAGAACTATTTTGTGATCATTGAAGTGAAGAATATGACAAGTTTTAGTGAAGCAAAACAGCAAAATCCTGAATTAGATGAACAACAGCATAAGTTAGGATTGCAGGGAACATACAAGAAATCAGAAAAACAGAGGGAAAGAATGGTGAAATTGATCAGAAGCATTGAGAACAGCACAAATATCTCTCACTTTACAGCTTATCCTAACTTCACGAAGGGATCCAGTGCAGAACTTACCTTGGAGCCTGATCAGATATCATCGGTTATATTCAAAGAAGATACAGAAGATTTTGCATCTTGGTGGAAAGGCAACGTTACAGATTTTCACACGGAAGAAGCGTTGAACTCTGACTTTCAAGCAAAACATGATAAAGTCAGGAACATGCTGCTTGCTATTTGGTGTACGGACAATAAGGGCCACTGTGATAAATCCAAGTGCAGTTTGGGACGGTGTATACAGGATATTGATAAAAAACTGCGCACTGGAAGTTTTACGTTCAGGGAAAATAATCCAAACGTAATTCCAGCCCCAGATGTCATTAAGGAGTACTTAGGAGTGAACAACCTCACTAAGAAGCAGCTTGAAGCGTACAATTTAGAGGAACGCTTAGTTCTTATCAATGGGCCCGCAGGAACGGGTAAAAGTGTCATACTGATAGCTAAAGCAATACAGCGTGCTGAGTTGGATGCAAATAAAAAAATCATATTTTTCGTTGCTAACAACACAGCTGAGGAAGGGGTTAAAACTACTTTCGAAAAAACAAGTGTTCGCCACTGCACAATATCCAGCCGTGAAACTGACAATAAGACCACGTTGCAGATTATTGAGATGATATCCTTGAAATTAGCTGATAATCAAGTTATCATAATTCATTATCCAGAATTTAAGAGGCACGATGGCAAGTTAAAGGTTTTGTCGAGTTCCGAAATCAGCCAACGGTATTCAGAAATACTAACTTCACATCTAGATTGTGATGTGTTTTTAGACGATATGCAAGCGATTTCACATTATGATGACATTGAAGGAACGAATACCTTTATGACAACGTTATGTTCTTTGCCGGAGGTAAATCAGGGCAACCGTCATATCTGGATAGCTCATGACACGGCACAGGATAATATGTGTATTTATACAATAGGGCCTTCATCTATACGACAATCAAACCCCCCTTTTCACACAATTACTCTATCAAAGAACTTGAGAAACACATACGATATATCGAATAGTTTATCAGTAATAAGGGACCATATTGAAGAAGAGATAATGAGAATAATAGAAGAAGAATTAGAAGGATCACGTGATTCAAATGAGACTATCGTTACACAAAAACCAGGTCATTACATTCGTGGACAGAAAATCAACATACATGTTTTTAATAGTGGAGATGTTGATTTGATAGGCACTTACCTAGATAAAGAGTTAGACAAGCTGCAGCGGGAAAATGTTCTTAAACATTTAAATACAGCTGTGATATATGACATCACAGACAGACTTGATGATTTGGTAGAAATAAAAGTTGCAAAATATAGGAGTGGACGGTCTGCTGATAACATAAACGTGTTACATCGCCTAGAGACTTCTTCAGGAGAATGGCCAGCTGTCATTGGTATAGTTGAATTTGAAGATTTAACTGACCTGCCTGATCTATACCTAACCATGTCTCGAGCTAGAGTTTACTGTTCAATTTTGCTATGTTTACACCCTGATACAATGTTAGAAGAGGTGGAACAATTCTTATCTGGTGATCTCAAACACGGTGCTAATATCATGATACATTATTGAGAATGAAAATGTATTAATTAATATAATTGAATATTGATTACATGTGCACACTTGTCACTTAATTAAGTAACTAAGCTGTATTTTTGATATACAATTAAAACAGTTTTATTTCTTGTTTCTTAAATATATTGGGATTCATTATTGTTTACATTAAGAAAGACTATGTGTTATTAATTGAGTATTGATTGGAACAAATTTAACTGACAAATCATGCTGTGTTTTAAATTAATAAAACATAAACTTGGTTTCAATTATTGCTTCATATAAGAATTGAGCTTCTTTTCTCTATCTCTATCATGTACTGCGGTGGTATTCAAATTGTGCTAATTGTTCAGTGAGACACTAATTTAAACTCTAGTATTTATACTAGAGTTTATTGTAGTTTATAAACTACAACCCTCACCAATGTCTAGATACAAATTCTTCTAGCTATATATAAACAAGATAATGAATAAATGCACCTGAAATAATGGCCGACACAGCATGTTCTAGCCCATAAGTCAGCACTGTTTTAATTTATTAAATCTTAATTAGTGTGCAATTAGTGCAATTAGTGCAATAAGTGCAATACAATGATATCATCACAACCCCCATAATGTGTTCACCATAAAGCACGGTCCTATTTTATTATTACTTAAATACCAGACCAATTTGTTGACTCCCACCCCTTAGTTCTTTTGTATCCAGAAAAAGCGGAGCAAACTTCCAATGACTTCTCTCTGGTTGGGTTGAATCTATACCAAAATAATTTAAATGCCAGTTTCGATCAAATCCGGATTAAAAGAGAGCGGTACCAGTAGTCTCACTAGTCAGATTGGTTATAATTATAGACTAATTATGTTACCTTGCGGTTCACTGTTGGGTGAAACTAGAACCATCCCTTTCCTTATCTCTCCTCTTTTTATTTTCTTCAGAGCAAAGGAACTAGACTGTCCGGCTCTTACCTGAATTGTTTATTCTAATTTTTTACTTTCTTATTTATTTTTTAAAATAAAATGTACTTTTGGTGGAGAAATGATGGGATCTAGTGTATGATAGCAGTTGTAGTAGTAGTAATTGGTAATGGTTTATGTGGAATAATTTGTAAAAAACTTATTGCATATATATAAGCTCATCAGAACACAGTTTTATTTTCATAAATATCTCTTTGGCTTAATAGCTTAATGATCTCAATCTAGTTTTAAAATTCCAATCAGGATTTAAATAAAATGAAAAGATATTCAACATTTCAATATGGTTTAAACAGTTAAAACTCCGATATAATACCGCAAAATTTGGGGGAAAGGAAACATCCGCGGTAAATAGGGGTTTTACGTTAACATTTAAATGCATGTTAAGCCCTATTTTGGGGAAAGTAGATCGGGGTTTTACTGTGTACGAGACAAAAATACACGGACCAAAAAGTTCCCAAACCCTAATCTTAATTAACAACAATAATCTAGGAATCCATATAAAACCGTCTTGGTTACCTCTTTAACAGGAAGTCGTTTCCGGTGTATAGACTTGACAATGATAGGTTTAAAGTTTCCGAGACTGTCTGGTCCCATTAGTAAGGCGTCGTTTGTTTTAATTAGGCCCCGCATACATGTCCCTGATATCACAGTACCTGCACGATAATTTGATAATTATACATGTTCCTGATATCACATTGGATAATTAATAATAATTAAATATTTGCAAAAAACAGCAACTCAAGCAACTGTTGAGAGAAAACATGTGATTTCAACTTAATGTTTCAACTTTTCGTTTCGAATAATAATTGGATGATTATTGATTATCCTCATTGTATAATAATTGGATAATTGTATATTGACAATTGATCTAAGATTAACGTGTTTAGCCTGTCAAATAAACGCTGAGATTTGAATTGAAATTAGATAGTTAAATTATCCCCCCCCCCCCCCCCCCCTAAATTAACTTATTGATGAATTAAAACAAAGATTTGCCTGTTCATTGTTCAAGCATGTTAATCGCTGAATGGTATTTGACTACTAATTGCTGTACACTCGGTACACTAACATTTGAAAACTATTAAAAACTAAACAAGAATTGCGCCCGTTGTTTTGTTTTGGCGGACGCTAGATTTCCATTTCACATTTACTATAAATTTAAGTATAAGCTCCAATCAGTCACTTCAATCTTCATGATAATAATATGATAAATTATGCATCAAATACGGGAAAACACTTGAAATTCAGTCAATTGCCGTAGAACTTAACTTGTATCTGTAATTAAAGAAATTATCAGCAAAGGTAAAATAACTCGTGTACACATCAATACACTTGCGTGCCAGTACAAATTGGGCGTATTACCTAATAGTAATATTTACATTACATGCATCATATAGTTTTAGTTTTAAACTAATTACAACACTACAAATCTATTACATTTATTGAGGAATGTTAGCGAAGATATGTTATCCCCGCAACGTTTCACACCTATCCTGAACTCATCCACATCCTCTGAAAGTACTCAACAGCGACAAGGTAACACTCTCTTCAATACCAGTTTGCCTACATCAAAGACGGCACTTGTAACACCTGTAATGATGTTCAAGCTAATGACACTGCTCTTACCTGCTTTTTGTGTAAATCGTCATTTCATGCTGTTTGTCGAGATGCTGATAAAGATAGGATCAATAATGCTGTAATCTGTCCTCGCACTTTCTTCAAAGCATACTCCGACAGAAAACGCAACCAAGGGTGTTAACAGTTCCCAGATTTGGGACTTTTACGTTTGTGTGTAATGTCTGCAAGACACACTCTGAACAGAACTCCGCAGTCAGTGCCGAAAGTAAAGTCGACCTGATTGACAGGCGAGTAGATAATCTGACCCACTCTATGGAGGACATGAAGGGTTTACCTTATGAAAGTTGTGAATATGAAAACATCTCCGGACAAAACTGAAATTTCTTCTCCTCCATCTCCAGCACCAGTTGCCCCTTCATATCGCTCTGTATTAATCATTGTCCAGCAAAACACCAGAAAATCAAGCAAAGATCGCCAAGAAGAAGTTGACAAAATCATCAAAGACAACGCCATTCATGCTGACAAACGGTATGTCAACCAAGAAAGGGGACCATTGTGGTTGTGTGTCCGACAACGGCTGACAGGGAAAATCTTGTCAAGAAAGTATCCAGCAACTTCCAGATATGAAACGCACCAGCCAACCAGAACGTTTGCCCACAATCTCTGTTGCTACCTTGCTGATAATTATTCTGAAGAAGATCTAGAAGACCTGCTCCTTCAAGCACACCCCAACATTAAGGCATTAAAATCCCGGGTGAAACATTTTCTGTACTAAAAGTTTAAACCTCAGATCAAAAACAGCAGCAAGCATCAAGCTACTATACGAGTCTAGTAACAATATCAGGAAAATCATAGAACAACAGGGGAGATCGGGCTATACAGCAGTTCGTTTAGTTGCAAAGTTTATGATCAATTTCATGTAAAACGATGCAACAACTGCCAAGGTTTTGGACACTACAGGTCGGACGAGTGAATCAGAAGAAGCTATTTGTGTTTATTGTTCAAGAATTCATACGTATCAGAAGATTGTCCATGTAAAGGAAAACTAATAGTATTATTCATGCTGCATTACTGCTCTAAGGGTCAAGATATCGGTGAGGAAAGGAAACACACACAACGGCATTTTGATAGGACATGTCCCGCTTATGTTGCTGAACAGCAGCATCTCCGCAAAACTATCAAATACTACAGTTCAAAAACTTAGTAAGTCAGTGGTCTGAAATCCTCTCCGGCGGAGATTCTTGGCTGTTGCTGGAATGTGAGATCTCTCAATAATAAGATTCAACAATCATGGAATCTATAATCGACCAAGGAATCTCTGTCCTTTTTTGTCACTGAGACTTGGCTCACCAGCATGAAGAATGATGTTACTGCTACCATCAAGTCTTAACGGCTATAAATTGATTCACTACATCAGGAAAGACTCCGCTAAATGCAGAGGCGGAGGAGTTGGAATTATTTTACAATTCAAGTGATTGGAACCTTACTCCTGTGTTTGATAAGTGTGGAGATACGTTTGAAGCAGTTTTAGGCAAATTTCGAGACTCATCGGGTGATACTGTCCTCTGTGCTTGTGTTTACCGACCAGGGTCATTGACTGATGTATTTTTTGAAGATTTGGATGAGTTTATTGGGAACATATTCATGAAATACAAGAAGTTTTTAATTTGTGGTGATCTTAATATCATTTGGATGATCATAAATCAAGAAACACGGCCAAACTGACTGAAGTATTGGCCAGCTATGGACTGCATCAATACGTGAGAGTCCAACTCACAACAAAGGACATATTCTGGATGTTGTAATCTCCTCCCATCAGATAGTCAATCCAAAGAGTGTCATGACACTCTTTGGATTGACTATCTGATGGGAGGAGATTACAACATCCAAGATATGTCCTTTGAGTCTACTGTGACATGTCACAGTAGACTAGCACACCTCGGAAATGTTCCCAAACTGTGACCATTTCCCGGTTACTTTTAGCCTCACAAAAAACAGGTTGCAAGCAAGTCTCAACAAGAAAAAGTTATCACATTCAGAAATGTCAAAGAAATTGACAAAAATTGTTTTGCGGATAATCTTGCTGAGGAATTGGTTACTGTAATGGATCCTGAGGGTCTATCACAAGCTGAAATGCCGTCATTTGAAAGCCGCATCAGCCTATACAACTCTAAGTGCCTAACTGTGCTGAATAACCATGCTCCTCTCCTCACAAAGGAAATCAAAGAACGTAAGTCTGCCCCTTGGTTCGATGGTGAATATAAAGCACTTAGAAGCCAAAGAAGAAAAGCCGAGACAAAGTGGAAAATCTCCGGATCTTTAACTGACAAGAAACACTATGAATCAATCAGAGAGCAGTGCACAGAACTCTCAGACAGGAAGAAACATGAGTTTTTCAAAGTCGAATTCATAAAGCATTCCTATTCTTCTAAGAGTCTTTTTAGATTTGTGGACACCTTTCTTGATCGGGATAAAAGCATTGTGTTGCCTTCGTCGGAGTCTCTCAAGGACACAGTCGAAAACTTTAACGTATATTTTCAGGAGAAAATAAAGGCAATACGAAATAACTTTGATCATGTTGAGTCTGACGATCAAACGCCCTCTTACTGCGGAGAAAAACTAGCTGAGTTCTCTCCAACTACTCTAGAAGAACTAGAGGAGATAATCAAGGCATCTGAGATCAAGTCTTCTTCAATTGACCCTCTACCTGCAAACATCTTTAAAGAAAACCTTGAGGTTCTACTACCCGTCTTAGTTGACATAGTAAATGCTTCATTATCTTCTGGCAGTATTGATGGCGCTAAACTAGCTCATATCACACCCCTGATCAAGGGCCAGGGATTAGATAGTGATAATCTCAAGAATTATAGACCAATATCTAACTTTAGTTTTGTGGGCAAGTTGATAGAAAGAGTAGTGCTCAGGCGTCTAAATGAACATCTAGAAAACAACAACCTGAACATCCCACAGCAGTCTGGATACAAATCAAAACACAGCACCGAGACTCTGCTTGTGAGAGTTGTTAACGATCTACTCATTGCATCTACAGAAAGCAAGGCAACTGTTGTTCTTCTCCTAGATCTCAGCGCAGCTTTTGATACAGTTGACCACTGCAAACTACTGAACATCCTCAGAAATGAGTTGGGAATAACAGGGACAGCTTGGAAATGGTTCAGCAGCTTCCTCACAGGTAGATGTCAAACGATTAAAGTTGGAAATGAGGAATCTTATGAGATAGTGATTAAGTTTGGAGTCCCACAGGGCTCTGTGCTGGGTCCCGTCCTGTTCAACATCTACATTCGCTCTTTGTACTCAGCAGCACATGATTTGAACTTCTCAATCCAGGGTTACGCCGACGATCATCAGCTGTATAAAAGTTTCAAGCCAAACGAGGAGCCCACCGTCCTTATCAACGATGTTCCCAAATGTTTCCAAGAAATTAATGACTGGATGAAAAAACATTATCTACAGCTCAATGCAGGAAAAACTGAGATTCTTGTCTTTGGGACACCGCTTGTTCTCCAGCAGCTGTCTATAGGGGGCGTGTTTGTTAACTCTGAGACGTGTGTCAGGCTGTCACCTGTTGCAAAGAACCTCGGATTTCGTCTCGACTCTCAACTAAACTTTGGTGAGCAAATCAAGCAACTTAAAACATCGTGTTTTCTGAAACTAAGAGACCTTGCTAAGATGAAAACATTCCTAACAACCAAACAGATGGGAACACTGACTCAAGCAATTGTAATCTCATCGCTTGACTACTGCAATGCACTTTACTATGGTTGTAGTCAAGCCTCAATTACGCAGCTGCAGAACATTCAGAACCGAGCATGCCGTCTGGTTTTTGGATTAAAGAAGAGAGACTCAGTCGAGGAGAAGCTCAAATCCCTTCATTGGCTCAAGGTGAAGGAGAGGATTGAGTTTAAGTTATGCTTACTGATTTTCAAAGCAGTCAATGGTGTTGCTCCTGCATATCTGTGTGATCTAGTAACATTTGTTAGTTCGAGTAGCAGAAGAACTTCCTCCTTACACCTACCCGTCGGATCTACAAGATCACACCCAAGAGCGTTTCAGACTGTTGCTCCGAAAATCTGGAACCAACTACCTATTGAAATTAAGACTTGTTCCGATGTTGATCTGTTCAAAACATTATTAAAAACTCACCTGTTTAAGAAAAGTTATGGCATGAGCGATTAATTGACAATATAATAACTTTATGTTATTTGCTTAAACTGTTTAGGATGCAACCTAATGTCATGATCTTTTTGAACTTATTAGCAATTAGACTGTTAGCTCGCTTCACAAGCATGTCATCTTCGTTCCAAAACTTTTTATGTCCTATGCATACACTCCTTGATAGTTATCTTGATCTAGTATCTTTGTTTCACACAATAGAGCATAAGTTTTGTGGTTTATCCACTGGGCTTAGAGTTTGTGTTTAAGCTACCAAATTTTATTATTATAAAGGGTCTCAATAAGAGGTCTCGACTGCCTAGGCGTCAGACCTTGGCAGTCGGTAGATTTCCTCTGGCCCGGGATCAGCTGACCCTAGGGACCAGAGGATAAAGGTGTAGAAACTATATGTATCTACAAAACTTTCAAGGTTGTTTTTACAAGAGACAGGGCTTGCTGCGCAAGGGAAGAAAAGCGGGAGAAACACTCACAAATTATACAAATAAATATTATAAAACATAGCAAAAAGAAATTCAAACAATCCTACACTACTACAAATGTTTATTACATACTACAATGTGATACATGAAAATTATATGCTGTATAGACAAGAAACAGGGCTTGCAGGGCAAGAGATGGATCAAAGGGACTAGTCACAGAGTGTAATATACAGTGATTCAGCAAGAACCCATTGCTGAATCTGGCACACAAAATACCACAATCAATACAAAAATATACAATATTATATCAAACAATATGTTTATACAAGAATCAGGGCTTGCAGAGCAAGAGAAGAAAAATAAGAGAAAACTACCATCAACTGTATATACCGTAGTCCATCAGATAGGTAATCATTACTAATACACAAATCAGCAGGGCTAACAACAATATAAAATCCATAATAAATACTCAATCTACCCAATATACGAGTTAAAAATTGTATAAACAAGAGACAGGGCTTGCATAGCAAGGGAAGAAAAATAAGAGGACCAGGTAAAAAAGTGTTTATTAGAGTACCCAGTGAAAATTAAACTAAAAAAAAGAGTATTTACAGTGTATTATACACTCAAATATATTATATGTCTAAGACCATCCTGAGAATCCTGGCTGATCCAAGCAGAGCTGTCTTCTGGAGATTAGAGATGCTCAGATTGCAGTGGACTGCGTCGAGGTGTTTACGAAAGTTTATGGTGATAGTTCCTAATGCGCCTATCACCACAGGGACGATTGTGACCTTTCGTAAATTCCAGTTCTTCTTAATTTCTCTTTTCAGGTCTTGATATTTCAGAATCTTTTCTTGTTCTCTATCCAAGATCCGGGTATCTCCTGGGACTGCAACGTCAATGATGGTTGCTGCGTTGGTTACCTTGTCTACCAGGAGGAGATCCGGTCTACAGTGTTCGATAACGTGGTCCGACTGGACATGGAAGTCCCACAATATCTTGACTTGTCCGTTCTCCAGCACCTTCTCTGCCCGGTGTTCGTACCACCTTTTACTGCGTGGGAAGCCGTATTCCTTGCACAGACTCCAGTGCAATGCGGCAGCTACTTTGTCATGCCGACACTTATATTCTGTCTGTGAAAGTTTTGGGCACCCATTCAGTATGTGGTCTATTGTCTCGAGTAATGATTTCTGCAGAGTCTGCAGAGGGGAGAAGAGCCAGGTGTTTTGTCAATCCTGTGCTTCACGTAATTAGTCCTAAGTGCTTGGTCTTGGGCTGCTATCAACAATCCTTCTGTCTCCTTCTTCAAATCTTGTTGGGTGAGCCAGTTCCAAGAGGTTAACGGGTCTGCTGTACCCATCATCTGCCTTGGGAACTGTCCGTGCATCACTTTAGCAGTCCATTTCTCCTTGCGGACTTCCTCGCGTTGTGTTCGGTCAATATCTTTCTCTATCTCTTCACCCAAGAGTATCTTGTCTTTGACAAAGTAGTCCTTCAGAGCAATCAGTTCTGGGTCTCTACTTCTCACCACATAAGTGGTGAGTGCATTCTCCTCTCTCTTAACGACTTCCTCTATACTATGTAGCCCACGGCCACCCAGTTGACGGCTGACGTATAACCGATCAACATCTCCTTGGGGGTGGTGAGCTCCATGTATCCTCATCAGTTTCCGGGTCTTGACATCTAAGGCTTTGGTCTCCCCAGCATTCCATGAGAGAATTCCAGCTCCATATCTTATCACAGGTACAGCCGAGGTGTTAATCGCTTGTATACTATTCCTGCCATGAAGCTGGGATTTCAAAACCTTTTTAACTCTTCTGATATACTCTTTTGTAACCAGTGCTTTCATCTCTTTGTGTAGTATATCATTAGCTTCTAGTATTCCGAGATACTTATAGCCGTCGTCCTCCAACTCATGGATCTGTTCACCTGTGGGTAGGGAGATGCCTTCAAAAACGGCTCTTGCTCCCTTCTTCACCTTCACCACGGCACATTTCTCTAGCCCAAATTCCATTTTTATGTCACTGCTGAACTCTGCTGTGGTATTAACCAGTGTCTGCATTTCGTCTTCACTCTCGGCATACAACTTGAGGTCGTCCATATATAGCCTATGCGACACTTTCGGTTGACCTCCTCTCTCCAGAGAGTATCCTATGTCATGCTTATTCAAAAGAATGGACAGGGGTATAAGACTAATGATAAAGTGGATAGGTGAGACTGAGTCTCCTTGGAATAGACCTCTATTAATTTTAATTCTCCCAAGGGAAACTTTACCAAGCATCAGGTTAACATACGATTGTTTGAAGGAGGCTTCAAACAGGTCTATGATGCATGAAGAGATGCCACACATGGTCAAACAAGATAGAATCCAGGAGTGTGGGACGCTATCATACGCCTTCTTGTAGTCTATAAACGTCATGTTCAGGTTCCGCTTCCTTCGTTTACAGTTCTTCAGGATGAGTTTGTCTATCATTAACTGTTCTTTACATCCTCTACTCTTCTTCTTGCACCCTTTCTGCTCAGGGGGGAGGAGCTTTTGCTGGTCTAAATGGTGGTAAATGGAATCTGAGATTAGACCAGTGAACAGTTTCCACATAGCTGATAAGCAAGTAATCGGTCTGAAATTGCCTGGGATGGGTCCTTTCGAGTGGTCCTTGATGAGCAGGTACGTGCGTCCCAATGTCATCCAGTCTGGGATATCAGCGTTGGTTAGGCAATTCATAAGTTGATCTGCAATCCTATTGTGGAGTTCTTTAAAGTGCTTTATCCAATAAGCATGCAGTCCGTCTGTACCAGGAGAGGACCAATTAGTCATTTTCTTCACTCTATCTGCAACCAGGGTGTTAGTTATAACAAACTGTCTCTGTTCATCTGCTGAGGCTAGTGCTGTTCTGACATCCGGTAACCATTCAGCATCACTGTTGTGTTCAACCGGCTGCTCCCATATGTTCTTCCAGAACTTTATTATTATTATTATTATATAGTTATACATTAAAACACAGTCGCGCCGCGCATTCATAGATCACAGGCTATCTATACATCACATCTCCGCAAGCAATCCTCGCGCGCGCAACTTTTTCGTTGCATGGTAACGGACGGAATGACATCATATTCAGACCCGCCTACTGCTATCTCCAAAATCCACGTTTTTCTGCAAAAACCTCCATTCGTAACCTTTCACTATTGCCTTTTTTCAAAAGGGTGAAAAGGAAAAAATTAAAAGTATTAAAGGTCTTCAATCAAATTTACGATATTGCAGGGAATGAAAAGTTTACTAACCAACACCAGGCACGCTGTAGGTGTCATCAATCTGAAACTCTGCAATATCCCCCACAACATAGTTGTTTCTCACACTCAGCAGGTTTAGGAAGGCTTTTAGTAGTTCCATGTTCTGGCCAGTTACGTTTGATATCTGTTGAAACATTAATTGGATAATTAATTGCCAGTTAATTAATTGGTTATTAATCATTGATTAATTCTATGATAAGTTTTGATATTGTATGTGTAGGCATGTCATTTTAAAACTTCAAATTATAGAAATACTAGAAAACCCGTGGTCACATGGAGGAATAGAAGGTAATAGTAATCTTTACCGTATCGCATCAAAAAATATCCGTCACAAGTCAAAACCGAAGATAGGGCCGATTAAAATGTAGCTCGCAAATGTTTGCACGTGCACGTGAGCGTAACAACAACCTTCGTTACCATGGTTACTATGCAACTTCATATTTTATCTGATTTGTACGTGGGCAAATCATAAAAAGATAATCTTTAGAATAAAAAGACATAAAAAGATAATCTTTAGAATTATAGTTTAGAAATTTGGAAGAGAGCTTAGTAGAATTTTAGTTCTGAAACTTATTTTGTTTTGTTTTTCTGTGTTTTTTGTTTAGTTTTGCGAGCGTCTGCCGAATTGTAATATCAACTTCTTATTAACAACAGTTATGAATTTCCATTGAATCACCACAATATCACGTGACATACCTGGAATATGGGACAAATTCTTTCCGAGGTGAAGTTGGTAGCTGACACGACGACATCGTCTTGGTTTGACACGAGCAGCGGTATTTTACGACATCCCGGCGACTTTAGGATCTTCATCAGCAGCTTCATTGTCTCCTGGGAGGGGGAAATTGTAAAGTTTTGGGGGCCGGGGGGGGGGGGGGGGGGAAAGGGGTGGTAGCAAGTTTTAGTGAGCTGTTTATAAATCATGCATATTTGAAGGAAATGTCACAATATGACGTCATGACAAATCTATAGATAAGCCAAATTTTGTGAGCTTATTAAAATTAATAAACAGCTGATAGCAAGCCAGTTAGCGGGGATTAATTTAATTAATTAATTATAACTTAATTGATTGCTTAATTATTTAATTACCTCGAGAACGTTAGGAGGACACATGTCAATCTTAGTAACAACCACGTAGACCGGCACCCCAAGAGCCAGACTCAATCCCAGATGTTCTTTTGTCATTCCTGCGTGACAAATAAATAATATAATGATATTAATAACGAATTTTTGTTTTACCACGAAAGGATTATAATTGGCTACAATAATACAGCAAATTGCAAGTGATTAAATAATACACAATTATTGTCATATTAACATATTACTTGATTAAATTCAACTTACCAATAATTCCGGCGTTAGCTCCAATCATCAACATTCCAAAATCAGGCAGATGTCCGGTCATTCCTGTACAGATCACGAGATATCAGCAACGTCATGATTGTCTCGAACTTTTAAATAAGTGTATGGAAATGGTGGATGGTGCAAGCTTATATTTTGTCACGTGACAATCTTTGACCAATTAGCTCACAGCTTTGACAAATCAAGTCAGGTATTGCTGTCACGTGTCAAAATAAACTTGCGCCATTGCCATCACCCCAACGGTAATTCACGTCAATTATGGTCACAAATTGCTCGGATCAGTAGCCATAGTTTGAAGGCTAAGTGTACTAGTTTAATTTTAAAGCATCTACGATCCAATTTCGTTTGTTCTAAAATCATTGACTTGAACTTCAAAACAGATTTATCAACTATAAAACATTAATTAATCAATTAATCAATTAATCAATTAATCAATTAATCAATTAATCAATTAATCAATTAATCAATTAATCAATTAACGTACCGAAGATGGTTGTTTTAAGATACTTCTCATGACCAGCCAGGTCTATAAAAGTGATAACTTTGCTCGATTGGGAGCAGATCTTTCTCCAGTCTTGACTGCTGTGAGTATCTGCTTGGTTAACTATACCTCCTTTTGAATCAAATCTGAAAATATTGTTTAAGATTGGATTTTTGTCGGCAAACATTCCCTAACATTCCTCAACATTCCCAACATTCCTCAAAATTCCCATGCAATATCTTTTTTACAAATTGGAAAAAATATATTGTGGCAACCTCACAATAATATAATACTGACCCCAATATGTCATTTCGAGTTATAAAGTGGCAACCTCACAATAATATAATACTGACCCCAATATGTCATTTCGAGTTGTAAAGTGGCAACCTCACAATAATATAATACTGACCCCAATATGTCATTTCGAGTTGTAAAGTGGCAACTTCACAATAATATAATACTGACCCCAATATGTCATTTCGAGTTGTAAAGTGGCAACTTCACAATAATATAATACTGACCCCAATATGTCATTTCGAGTTGTAAAGTGGCAACCTCACAATAATATAATACTGACCCCAATATGTCATTTCGAGTTGTAAAGTGGCAACCTCACAATAATATAATACTGACCCCGGCCCAATATGTCATTTCGAGTTGTAAAGTGGCAACCTCACAATAATATAATACTGACCCCAATATGTCATTTCGAGTTGTAAAGTAGCGCAACCTCACAATAATATAATACTGACCCCAATATGTCATTTCGAGTTGTAAAGTTGCAACCTCACAATAATATAATACTGACCCCAATATGTCATTTCCGACACTGCTTGTCCTCCCTGTTTCCTGCTCATGTTTGTGTCTGAAGAGTTTGGTTCGTGCAAAACCACGCCCATTATCCAGCTCGCCATGAGTTAGTACACCTAGTAGGGTGCTTTTACCTGAAGAGGATTGTTATGTGACTAATAGAGTAATAGAGTGTAGCTTCTTCTTTTGATCAGAGTTTCTGGAGTCAACTCAGTGAGAAGCAATATTAGGATTAAATGAAAATGGATTTTTGAAACAGCACATATTCCATGTGCATATTCCACATATTCCAGGGAGACACCCCGCTGCTAATTTTAATAAAATCACCCGGAAAATTTCGGACTTTGGCAGTGTTATAATCGATTAATAAATCAATACAAAATACAAAATAACGGATAATTTAAGAATCTTTTAGTTTTTCAACTGTACCTGCATCAACGTTGCCAATAACTGCAACTCTGACTTCTGTAAAATCCTCTTCAGTTGGTTTGTGTCGCACAAGAACCTCTGCAACTTTACCTTCCTGATTTAAGTGATCAAAAATTTAATTCGCTATTTTAAAATACAAGGATGATTCACAGATCTTATTGCCTTTTCTCCCGGCCCCAAATCATTCAAAATATAATGGTAACACCCCTTTAAATAACAAGAATGCTTGAAATCGACTGAGAAATACCTAATACATGCCATAGCTATGAGAGCCATTGAATCACGGATTGATTGATTGATTGGGGACCAGCATTCGGTACACTGGTTAATGTTTACTATAATATTCAAGTATTACAATTACATAAAATTAGATAAATATAAATTCCCTTTGCTTAGGACGTACCAAAATATCCAAAAATGAAACGATGCACCTTAGCACACAACATAATACATAAACAACTGGCAGTGTATCCTCAGAAAAGAGCCCTATAGATAAACCTGGCCTGGGTGAGACCTGCATCGCGATTGCTATTCAGCGATGTGTGCTCTACAAGTCATCACATACCTGAGTTACAATCACGGTTGCAGTTTTATAACTCACAATTAAAAGTTCCTCGTTATCGGCCGAAATCAACAAATACACGCCGAAATCAACAAATACACGCAACAGCCATAATAGATAAGAGCGAATATATAATCTCAAAATATACCGTTAAGCGGTGACACTGTAAACGTACTTGCCTCGGCTTGTTTCTCTCTTAACAGCGACAAGTCCGCATCAAGGGAATCAGCAAGACTCTCCAGAGTTGCGTGAGATGCTAACATATCCTCGTCACATAACCCATCCGGTATTCCATCACCAATACCAACCTGACAAAGGGACAACTACAGTTGACTAGATAAGCTAATGCTAGTTATCAATAATTACACGTCGAGGATATTTTAAGGAATATACGTGGAAGACAATTTGGGGATTGGGACCTGTCTATAAATATTGACTTCACAATTTGTAAGAATGAAAATACATGAAAGACACAGTAAAGTGGATTGCAAAGTTGAACAAATATTATTACCTCATACACGCACTCTCCCAATCCATCCTCTAATCTGTTCTTTAATACCTCTAACAACTGTTCATATTGCTCGTCTGAAGGCCCTGCACAGATCAGTTAAGTTACTTTACATGAATCAAATTCAGTACAAGAAAAGCATTTTGAAGTTTGAACTGCTCTTCACATATATATATATTATGTACATTGTGCAACATGCACAGTTGAAACCAACGAAATGCTCATAATTGATAGTACTGTACGATCATAATAACAATTTAGATAAAGATGATATTGTGCATCCACCATGTTGTGTATCCACACATAAATTAACATTGAACAATAATTATAGGTATTATAATACACGTATCTTCAACAATAAGAATTTTCGGTAACTGACCTACAAGAGCATACTTTGAGTTTTCTTCACTGACATCAGCCTGTTCTGAAAAAAGATCTAAAGCCTGGTCTGCTACTGCTTGGTCATCACAATTACTCATGCTGTATGAGATTTTGATGAGGTTACTTACTAACTCATAAATGTTTGTCTTTGACATCAGAGTCATCAATTGAAATCATTAATAGCTGAAATTGATTCTAGAGGTTTAAGCTTAAGAAATTTTGAGGAAGTCTTTAAAATTTTGCATATTTTAAACTTGAAACTGGTAAGAAAATTGACAGTAAATTTTGCATTATATGATAAATCAGTTTTTAATGAATCATAGGTACTCAAACAAAACTTGAATGGCAAATAACATGATAACTCAAAAACCTAAAAAATTTAAAAAATTAAAAAAATTGTATGTTACAACTAAAATAAATTCTGTAAAACATACAGTTCGAGGCAATATGTCTCATATCAGTTCAGTCAAGTCTTTTGTAACTAAATGTTTCTGAATGTAGTAAACCGAATAACATCCTAGGTAAAATGTCATATTATTAATCAACTACATAAAAACTACATAAAAAAGAAGATTACCAAGAAGCCAATGCCCTGGTTAGATCTAGAACTTCGTATTCTCAGGCGAAAAAGAAGAACTGCGGAACGTGCCTGGAGAAAAGATAAAGTAGATTATATAGACAGTGAAAGATCTGAGTACTTGAGATCTGATTATGTTAAGCTAAGAGATGAGTTTTCCCGAGTAGAGTTTGTTAAAAGATGTGCTCACCACAAAACCTCTCTTAGGTCCTCTTCAGGGGATACTAAAGCATTGTACAAAAAAGTCAACAGACTTTTAGGAAATGACACCCAAAACCTTCCAAACTACAAGGATCCTGTTAAACTATCAGAAGATTTTAAAGATTTTTTCGCTGAAAAGGTTGCTACCATCAGACGAGCCATTGAGAAGGAAGGAAAAGATTCTGTTAAAGACAAAGACAAAGACAAAGACAAAGACAAAGACAAAGACAAAGACAAAGACAAAGACAAAGATATAAACAAAGACAAAGACAAAGACAAAGACAAAGATATAAACAAAGACAAAGACAAAGACAAAGACAAAGACAAAGACAAAGACAAAGACAAAGACAAAGACAAAGACAAAGACAAAGATCCTGTTCTTGATAAAGACTTCATCTTTGATAATTTCTCTGAGATAACAGCTGATGAACTCAAAGACCTGGTATCGAAGATGTCTAACAAGTTCTGCTGCTTGGATCCGATCCCAGCATTTCTCTTAAAAAACTGTGTCGCCGAACTGACACCTATTTTACTCCACGTCTTGAACTCATCCTTAAAGACTGGAATATTTCCCTCAGATATGAAGAAAGCAGTCATCAAGCCGACTTTGAAGAAGGAAAATGCTGATGTTGATATTCTCAGTAACTATCGACCAGTCTCTAACCTCTCTGCCTTCTCCAAGATCCTAGAGAGAATTGTACTTAACCAGCTCAACGTCCATCTCACGACACATAGCCTCTACTCGGACGTCCAATCTGGATACCGCCCTAACCACAGCTGTGAAACATTACTTGTAAGAATGTGTGATGATCTTAACAAAGAAATTGAAGCTGGGAATGTTGTTATTGTTGTACTTCTCGACTTAAGTGCAGCGTTTGATACCATTGACCACACAGTCTTATTGGAAAAGCTTATGAAAGACTATGGAATTACTGGAAGTGCACTGCAATGGATAAAGTCCTACCTTGAGAAGAGACACTTCTGTGTGAAGATTGACGATACTCTTTCTACTTTCTTGGAGCTTTTGTTTGGAGTTCCCCAGGGATCACTCTTGGGGCCTATTCTTTTCATCCTCTATATCAAAGCTCTCCAAAAAATTGCTGCCAAATATGGTCTTGATATACAGCTATATGCAGATGATTCCCAACTGTACATCTCGTTTCAACCAAACCGTGTGGTACAGTTCACTGATGTCCAAGACAGGACAAACAAATGTCTTGCAGAGATCAAAACATGGATGGTGAACAATTACATGAAACTGAATGAAACAAAGACAGAACTACTGGTGTTAGGAAAGAGCCATGTTCTAAAAAAGTGTGAACTCAGTGTCAGACTACAATTCGGAAGCACTGAAATTCTACCTACGGAGTGCAAAGGAGACAGCTGGAAGAGTCTAGGTGTCAAATTTGATGAAACTTTAAACATGGAAAGACAAATAAATAATGTGAAAAGGAAATGTAGCTGGACAATGATGAACTTAAGAACTATTGGTCGTTACCTGGATGAAGGCATTAAATTGATGTTGGTGAAACAACTGGTTATATGGTCAAGTTCGGAGACAACCTGTACATTTTTTACTTTTTTAGAAGTGTGTGGTGGAGCCAGCTCAACACAGACTGAAACTCCCTGATTATATGGCTGACAAGACATTTTTCAGGACTTTCTCTGAGTAAAAAAAAAATTAAAAGGTTGAACGGTTGAGCAGATACAGGTAGTATTAAACAAACCCTTAAAAGGTGGAGATTTAAGGTGGAGACTGGCTCTGGTTGAAAAAACTTTTGATTAAGGTGGAAAAGGTTATTGGTAACATAAACTACATCAAATTTGCAATCTGATGGTTTCATCAATATTTTATTTAAGTGCTCAACCGAGGTGGAGAAATTAAATGCACTTTTCAAAGCTGCTCAACCGGTGGTGGAGAAAGGTTTAGAGAGTTCTAGGTTAGCTAGAAAGTTGCGTCTCGGCCTTTTCTAATTCCCGTTAAATTTTGTTTTTTCCATTGACGCTCAACAGGGTGGAGATCTTTCATTAAGAAACAGTAAAAAGCCTGTCAAACATGCCTAAATTCATTGGTTTTATCACTAATTCTTATCTGCTCTGTTAACTGCTACTGTAGGGGATCATAAAACTGTTACCCCTTCTGTCTTAAAGCAAAGTGTTCTAGCAAATGAAAAAACTATCAAAGTTGTGAAAAGGTGCTCAACAAGGTGGAGAAATTGTCGATTAAACATTAAAACATTAAAAAATGCATTAAAACTGGCCCCATCGGGTTGAGTTGAGCATTGGCAGTTGATTTCTGAAAGAAATAACATTGGGTGACCCTTCAGCATGTATACAACTCATCAAACTAGCCATCAACCACTCAACCGCGGTGGAGAACCTTGACTTCTGAGGTCAAATTTACGCCCAAATTTGCCAAATTTGAGTCTCCACCTATGTTGAGTGTACTTTTCAGCAAGGATGCCTTGTAATATGAGTTGGTAGATGATTTAGAATCATTGGTATTGCAAATGGACTGCCACAGTCACTCTACAGCTCCTAAACTACAGAATAACAGATTTTGAACTGCATGTTATGCTGTCTCCACCTCGGTTGAGCCGATTCTGAGGATCCTATTCTATGAAATATGATTGGTATAACCCATAATATTAAATATTAGGACTTTGGAGCAATTAAAAAGCATGAGAGGGTTAGTTCTAGTCACTTATATTAGCTCATGTAGTCAGTGAGCTGCACCACCTGTGTTGAGCAGACAAACCTGCTCAACCGGCACTTTTTGAGTACCCACCTGTCTTACGTAACTTTAAATTGTGAAATTTGAAGTAAATATTTTTTTCATAAGTGATTTACAGCTCCTTTATTTTTGTAATTTTCAGGTGGCCACTGTCTCCACCAAGGTTGAGTTATTTAAATTTTGAACCCAGATATCATTATAGAAAGGTTAGGAGTAAAATATCTGAAGAGCCTGTACCCCTTGGACTGTCAGAGGAATTGTAATTAATTTTACCGTTTATGGCAGTGAAATGAGTGTAATTAGTGACTGATTTTATGTACAGGTTGTCTCCGAACTTGACCATATCTAAATTAGATTACTGTAATTCTCTGTACATGAATCTACCCAAGACCAGATTAAACAAACTTAGTTCCACCCTTAATGGGGCAGTTCGTTTCATCTATAACATAGAAGACAGAACCACGGACTTGGTTCCCTTCTATAAGAAGGCCCACATACTCCCTATAGACCAACGAATCTTCTTTAAGGTTTGTCTTTTAACCCACAAATCAGTTCACGGTACTGCACCTGATTACCTAAAAGCATTACTAGATGTGGCTGTAGTGGATACAGAACTTTCAAACACCATGACCAGGTCGAAAAGATCTGGTGACCATCTCATGTTAAAGGTACCAAAGAATAAAAGGTCAAAAGTTGATGACAGACGTTTCTCAAGCCATGCACCGATTGCATGGAACTCTCTTCCAATGATGTTGAGATGTATTACTGATACCAACTGCTTCAAGCGAATGTTAAAGAACCATTTATATAATCAGTTTTGATGTTTTTTCTTCCCATTTGTCTTCACTTTGCAAGACACATTGGCTTTTATTTTTTACTGCACTCCATTTTATGTCTTGATCTCTACCTTTCTAGGATCTGTCTCTCTTTTTTGTTGATCATTTCACTGTATTATCATTTATAATACCTACACGTATTGTATGGTTTCTGCTTCTTTTTAGTTTAGTGTGGTGTTTACAATAAAAGATGTTTTAATTTTGTCTTAAGCCTTTTTGAGTTATACTTTTGTTCATTTTACACATTTGCTCACATTACTCACAGTCAGCCGCTCTGACATGGTTAACCTCTTCCTTGTGTTGTTGGTTAATCATATGAGCGGGATATAAATACCTCATTTCATTTCATTTCATTTCATTTCAACTATTTACAGCAAACACAAGATAATAGAAATTAAATCATAAAATCGAGTGGCCGAGTAGTCTCGACTCACCCATAACTTCTCCAAAGACGTCTATCATGAGCTTTGTACACTAAATCGTTGAAATTACTTAAACTAAATCTTTTATTTACAATCACAATAATTTGTTTTGTCATAATGTCTTTTAATAATAAATCAAATAAATTTGAACGAGGTCTGCCCCTCCTTCCTTTGTAGTCAAAACATCCTAAACATGCAAATCTGAAAGATAAGAAGGCGGGAGTGTCATCACCGCTTCTGAGAACGTGCCCAAGCATCTTCCATCTTGCTTTCTTGATCCTTTCAGTAAGGGGTCTGACATTACATCTCTTATATAGATTCTCGTTACTGATAACCGTAGGCCAATAGGTGTTGATAATCTGTCTCAGATGCTTCCTTTGAAGAACGTCGACAGATGCCATTACGGTTTCAGGAGCAGCCCAGCTGCTACAGTTATACAACAACACTGAAGTGACAAGAGCTTCGTACAGCTTCAGAAAAAAATGTCATATAAAATATAATAAAATTGTACCTAAATTTGTAGCTGAACACAATTAAAACCTATTGAATTTAATGGAGTATCTATGCTGTGAAGGACTAAAAAGTCCGGTAATCAGGAATCAGAATTGTTTAGAATAATATTGTACTGCTTCTGTGTCCACTGCCTGAAAGTATCCACTCCCTTTAAGTGACCAATCCGATGTAGCACTACCAATACCACAACTCCAACCACAACTAAAGCAATGATAGTTACAATAACCCAGACACCTGGTCCTTTCTTCTTTTTCACTTTCTTCTTTTCCACTACTTCCCCACTGTTACCATAACATATCTGTTTTAACTGGGGTCTTTCCATACACTCCCTGTCCCAATCCTCAGTTATAGTTTGCTCACTTAGACTCCTAAACCTAACTCCAGCCGTCCTATTCAGATTAGGAACCTCCAATGTCAGTGACTGTTCCTCCCACAAGGTTGGGTTTCTAGTGTACCATGCCGTGACATTGAGTTGGATCGTTGTGTTGGAGAGAAATTTCAGTGTGTACGTTAGAGATGTATCCTTTACTACGTAATGTAGTTCTAGGTACATAGAGATGATAGAGTCATCTGAGAAACGTATTTTATCTCGTTGCTTTGATTCAGATTCTCTACCTGTTCCGTTAATCAGTGTGAGCTTCAAATCTGGGATAAAAAAACTTTAAAAACTTTTTATTTAAAAAAATGGATCTTATCAATGTAATATCATATGGATACAATAAATTTATACTGTTATTTTTCCAATAAACTTTAAAACGTAATTTTTTTTCTCTTGTCTTTTCTCAAAAATTGTCTTTTCTCAATTAGTCATTAATTTGAAAGAAACTTTTAAATCAATACTCTACCACAATTATTTATACCTTCAGCTCCATCTATCTTGATCTTCACCCAATTCCAGAAATTAAGCAGATATGGAGCCCCATGGCTGACGCCCAATTCCAAATTTTCAAAGCAGTCTGAAACTTCACTGTATCTACTCAGGGGTAATTCGTACTTGAACTGCAAGATATCACCTTGTTCAGGATCAATAATCTTATTGACTGGCAGGGTTTGGTTCCGAAGATCTTCACATTTGAGAGGTGGAGTATTGGTGTCAGGCACCCACTCAGCTGAACCACGCGAGTATCTGAACAAATTTAATAATTGTGAGTTTAGCACAATAAAAATAGTGATAAATAAAGTAATTGAATTTTGGTCTGTAAATGAGCAACCAGATATGGAAAAGGGATCACACAGAATTTGGAAGATTTTATCTCACACTTATTTTACTTTGGACATTCCAACAGCCACATTGTTACCCAAGTGTAACAAGCCGAAGGATTCAATTATACCTAAGACCAGTGACGGTTAAGGTAGTATGTACCATACTTTCTTCGCCCGAGACTTTGCTGCAATGGGCAGCTCCTCATTTAACCGTCACACCCGATTTCTCGAGTATTCGACTGAGTAGACCGGGGGGATGCATAGATCACTCAGGATTCATAGCTGAACGACGACGCTCACCCCACGACCAGGCAGACAGTGGGATTCGAACTTGCGTCACAATTGCAAAGCTAGTGCTCTAACCAACTGCGCTACCTGGCCGTTAAGCATGCATCAATATTAAAATTTCTCGTTTTCCTGATTATTTGAAAAAGACTTACTGAGCAGAAGGTGTATGAAGCAAAGCTAAAACTGACATTACCTTCGCTATCAGGTACAGGTATTTCATGTTCCAAGGATAGCTAAGAAAGTTGTTTGATTATAAGATTCAACCATACAACGATACAAGGATCCAAATATAATAATTAATTTTTACTGGATACCCTTGAAAATTAATAATTATGTAAAAAGTTATCGCAAGTTTGCAGGTTTGAAAAACTAATAAGTGGCGTCCACACTCTACTTTCACTCTGGCAATTTTTGTTTGATGCTTTATGTTTAGAATGGAGGGACATTTAGGTAAATCCCAGGCGAAGTTAACCAGCCGTTAATATAAATGTTATATTAAGTAAAGCAACATTTTTAAAGTAAAACAAAATTTAAATTTTATTAGTGAAACAAATTTGCCATGACGTAACAATGAATAATAATATCATAATAAATATAAGTTAACTTCCGATAGTAAACTTGTTAGAACCGGTACAGCCCAAGATGCAAAATGGTCTATTATCAAAACAAAATTAACTCGCAGATTCATGGTCCCTTATGAACTTGGACGCTAATACCTACAACATGGGCTATACCGATCTAGCTATAATTCTACGTCATATTAAAAACTCTACACAAGCTTAAAATTTATTAATTAAATAATATTAACATGATAGTCAATATAACCGAAAATATTTTGATCGGAAATATGTAAAAAAATTATTTGGAGGACTTCGCCGCTTCGACGCGCCGCGCAAACTAGCATTCTTGCTTCTGATCCCATGCATCATACATCGTCAATTTTTGTTTTGCTTCGCAGTGCAACGATTTTTATAAGTTTACATCGTCAATCAAAATATTCTTTTACTGCTGACTGGAATTTATTGTTTAATTTCATGACCACATTTGTTTGTTCCCGGTAAATTAACGATGTCAACTCTTCCAGATCGTTGCTTTGCAAATATAATTAACAGAGCAACGATCATCTCGATGCGAAGTAATAATGATAGTTTGTGCGGCGCGTCAAAGCGGCGAAGTCTTCAATTCCAAGCTCAAGCTCCCGGGTTAAATTTTATAAATAATGGTTAATCACTCTACAGTCGACTGTTTCTTGTCATACGTTGTATGATCCGCTACGCACGATCAGTGCGCGGCTCCCCTGTATCGTAGAAACTCTACAGGGGTACTATTTGCTCTAACCAGAGCCCTTTCGCTTGCAGTAGCGCGCGACCGCCGCGAAAACAAGCGCGTCACGCAGTACGTGTAGACACATGGTTATGTGAAGGGTACTATAGTGAAGCGACAGTGGGGGTCACCACGTGATACAAACTGTCTCGTGACTTTTTCAACCTGTTCTCTATCTTGTGCTTGTATTTACTTATCATGCTCAGAAGTTAGTTTAAGGATTATAAGTGCAGTGCTATAAAGTATGTTTTTATAGTATGTGTAGGATGGCAAGAGGTGGGAATTAGGAAGGCATGGTCATCACATGGCTTACTGTAAGGCTTGGTTGGGTTTAATTGACGATGTCAATTCATCGCAGCTCGGCGAGGCACAGTAGCGCATTTCGCCGATCTAGCAAGGAGAAACCTCATTGAGTGCGCGGCGCGGCACAGTAACGCATCGCGCTACAAGGTTTGGTATGCAGTTGGCCTGCTTTCCTCACAGGAGGAGCAAAGTGCAAAGAAACTGTCACAAACTGCTACTAACTAGGCTACAGACTGATACAAACTGGCACCAACTGCTACAAACTTGCACTGACTGCTACAAACTGCTGCTAACTGCTGCAAACGGCGCGCGAATGCGTGGGCGCGATTGCAGCAGTTAGATGCGCATCCTGTGTTAATCATACGGCAAGGGTAGTTCTTCTCTGGCTTGTGTGTTTTAGGGTTGACATAGTTGTACCTGGGCTTACAAAAGTCATCAGGTGTAACCCATTGGTAGACCTTTTCTGTTAAACCAGGCTCTTCATGATACTTTGCTATCCAATCTAATATTGCTAGCTTTGTAGCGTGCTCGGCTTCTTCTTTCTGAACAGTATCAAAGGTTTCTGCATCTAGGTGTTCTTTAACCCTCTTGATGTAGTCTTCTCAGTCTAAAAAGAAGTATTGTGATTTGTGAACTTTAGTCAGCTCGTCTGATGACAATATCTTTCCACTTTGCCATATCTGATAAGGCCTTTCTGGATTCTACTGGGATATTGTCAGGAAGCTTAGATCTGGTAGAACTGTTTGTTTGTAACAGGTCTTTTGTTACTCTCTCTATGTAAAGGTCTAAACAGTGGTTATTGCATACTTTTAAAGGCTTGGTTTCATCCGACTTAATGAGGGTTCTTTCCATACTTTTTATCGCTACTATGGTCGGAGGTGTTGCTTTTGGCTGGGGTTGTGACTTGTGTGTGCCAAAACATGCCCATCTAAGCTTGTAGGCGAACTGAAGAATGTTCAGTCTGAACTTGGAATAATCTGGTAATGCAGGTGTTGGTGCAAAAGATTTCTCTAGATAGAAGAGGAAGAGTTGGTGTGGTGTTACCTCTTGGATCTTGGTCGATAAGTTGATGACTGCGTGGCTCAGTTTGTTGGGATCTATTGTCTCAATAGATGGAACTTGTCCGTGTAGCTGAGCATGCTTGCTCGTCCTGTTTCTTCTTCTATTTGTGTGTGCCCTGTTCATCTTCTTTCTGCGATTGAAACGCCTTTTTTCTGCATGGGATTGTGGAAAGGGTGGTGTTTGGGAGCAACTTGTGTAACTGCAGTTGACAATATGCTGATCTCTATGCAGCTTGGATGCTTTTGATAAATTGGCTCTATCCTGTTCTCTGGTTAGTTGGATGTTCAGTAATCTTCTGTAAGATTGAAGTGAGCAGTGCTTTTCCAACTTAGCAAGATTGGAATGATAAATAGAACTTTGTTTGCCAGTCCAATTGTGGTGTAGTAGAGTATGAGGAGGTCTAGGATTCTTGAACCAGTAAAGTACGTGAGATTCTGGATGGAATCCTGGAGTGTGATGTCATGTATAGGGGAAACTGACTTCATCTGGTCTGCAATATATATTTATAACTCTAAAACTCTGGTCACAAGAGCAACTGCCTAAACGTGCAGAAGTGAAAACAAATACATAAAATACTAGCAATCCTTTAAATTCGCAATAAATAAATTCGTTCAATGTCATAAAATTCTTAAAACCACATATACGGCCCAGTAAATAATTTAATTGGTCTATAATAGACTACTGTATAAAATTCTCAATATAAACCTTTTAACAATAATAAATTAATTAAAAACACAACAACCTTTGGTGTGTAAGAATGATTAAACAATCTCATTTTGACACAAAATATATTTCATAATATTATTATAGTATATGCTATAATATTAAGGGGGCCGGGGGGGGTCTTCATCAAAATTCTCTCGAAATTGATTTTATAGTTGTTTCTGATAGAGGGGAGTGATATCTATCAGCTGCTTTTGGTCCCATGGAAAAATATTGTTCCTAGCCAAAATTATCGCCAGTCAAAGGTCAGCGCTTATGTGTAATTGTATTGCGCGAGCGATTTTCAATTGCGCGCCCTGAAAATCGAGTCTAAAAATCTATCTTCTCCTACATTTTTTGAGCAATCACCCTGAAACTTTTAGGATATGTTCTATAGATCATTTAGAAGATATCTGTCGAGCCGAATTTTGAGATAGGCCTTAGAAGATTTTTTATTCAATTTTGAAAATCTTGGACCTCATTTTTTTACGATTTTTCCAGGTCCAAGATTTTCAAAATTGAATAAAAAATCTTCTAAGGCCTATCTCAAAATTCGGCTCGACAGATATCTTCTAAATGATCCCTAAAACATATCCTGAAAGTTTCAGGGTGATTACTCAAAAAATGTAGGAGAAGATAGATTTTTAGACTCGATTTTCAGGGCGCGCGATTAAAAATCGCTCGCGCAATACAATTACACATGAGCGCTGACCTTTGACTGGCGATAATTTTGGCTAGGAACAATATTTTTCCATGGGACCAAAAGCAGCTGATAGATATCACTCCCCTCTATCAGAAACAACTATAAAATCAATTTCGAGAGAATTTTGATGAAGACCCCCCCCGGCCCCCTTAAAACTGTTTAGTTTAGTTCAGGTAACAGAATTTAACTGTAATAGCACCTCTGCTGTGTTATCCATTGTTGAGATGTAGCCATAATTTTGTCCGGTCTAACATTGAACCCGGCTCATGAAATATATGCTTCGTCCGGTCTAACATTGAACCCGGCTCACTAATCATAGGGATGGTGTAGTTATAGTAGTTGGAATATGATCAACTTTTTATGTTTTATCTCTATTCGAAGGAATTCTTCTGCATCCTTTATTATTTCAAGTGCCAAATCAAAGAACTTTCGTAGTCTGCTCCATTCACACAGTGGAGAAACAAATTTACTGCTTTTGAATCGGTGTAGAAATTCATTCATTATGTTGTTCGGATAGAACAGGCTTAGGAACAAGGAACTATTTGTACAGTAAACTACACTGTAGATGTCATCTGCTGAATCAGAGGCGACTAGAGTAACCTGGCTGGCGGTTTAGTAAGGTGTTCGGTATGTTAAATATGACTTATCATTGTTGAACAATTTTTTTCTCACTTTACCCACGTCGGGTAAGACGGGCATTCTCTGTTAATAACGGTTAATGGGGAGTAATAGGGTTACAATAGTACCAAATAAAACTCTGGGATAAAGGTGTTAATGAATAAAGTTAGTTAGTACAAGGTTAGATAACCCTACTTTACTAAGTTACTCTAACAAACTCTCACAGATGTTATTGGTGATCTTTAAAGATATTTGTGGTCACAATCCAAATCAATCAATAAAGTTCCTTTATAAATAATTTAACTGATCCCGTGATTTGGTAAGTTCCTTGAATTGTGAGTATCCTCAATAATACTTGTAGCTCTCTCAGAACTATACTGGTCACTCCTTACTAGTGCTTGGTTCTGCTCTCTCAGAGCTCACTGTTCACTCAAACTAATCCTCTGTCCTACTGCTACACTAGCATCCACAAACAACCTGAGGTAATTAAGCACTAATAATATGTAAGGAACATCCTC